ACCAATTCTTCAAAACTTTTTGCACTTTTTGTTAGTTGTTTAGACCCCCGCAAAAAAAAACAAATTAGTGCCCTGCAGGTCCGATTTTTTTACCGCTATCAGTCAGGTAAAAGGTACAATAAGTCGTTAGTAGCTCAGTTTGTAGGGACTTGGGTTGGGAATCGGAGGGTCGCTGGTTCAAGTCCCGGCACGGACCAAGTCCGGAAATTGGCCTGGTAGCTGGAGAGGTGCCAGTCACCTAACCCCCCCCACCAGCTCAGGAGCGCCCACTGCGGGCAGCCCCCTCATTCTGAAACCTCTCCATTAGTGCATGTCCATAGGATCCTGTTTGTGCATGTGTGTGTATTTTGTTTGTGTAGCATGTTAACTAGACAGAGTGTAAAAAACGAATTTCCCCTCGCGGGATCAATAAAGTATACATTATTATTATACATTATTATTATTATTATTATTATTAATCTTAACCATGGATTCTGACCTGACAGTGAGGATCATCATTACAGTGACTTGGTGTACGTCAGGCTAATGGCAGGACACACTCACAGCCACTCTGTGCTGATGAACATAAAGTTGAAGCATCTGTGTTCTCTCCTTGTTGACCTCAGCTTGACTCCCTCTCTCCCACTCATCATCCTTTTACACACTCACACACTCACACACATGAAACCATACGCACGCTGAAATCCCGGATAGCTCCTTCTAATTGCATTCTGACGGAGCTGTTATATTGCAGCGCCCGCAATTACACCCACACCCAAGAGTCTCCTGTTCATCTGCAGCTCCAGCGGTGATAAAAGCCGTCGTGGTTATGACTTCTAATGAGGATTGTCAGCCAAAGCATCAGAATACACTGCCGAGACTGACACGCTTACCTCTCTGTGGGGCTGCACAATGAGGACGGGCACATTGTCTCTGAAAAGCTTGTTTACATCCCTCGTGTGATTGTGTGTTATTCATGAGGTGTGTGTTAAGGTTTTTCTAAGGATGTGTGTTTAGGCATCCTGCCAGTCTAAAAGGAAACAATGCTGGGAAGATTTTTGTGTCTGTTTTATCTGTCTGACTCTACCAAGTTAAGTTACTTAAAGGGGAAATATTCTGAAAAATCCACTTCTACAGTGTTACTGAACATATATTTGGGTAACTACAGACCCACAAAATGTGAAATAAACCCATCCAGTCCTTTGTTTGTGGTCTGCATAAGTCTTACAACACAGAGAAAAATGCTCCATTTAAAATTTGGTCTCCTTGTGATGTCACAGTGGGATTCTGGTAAAAAAAAAAAAAAATACCCTCCGCTCCTTTGGTATCTCCACCCATGGACTCCACCCCCAGCCTAGAACAAAACTTTTGTGCAGGTCCGCCATTTTTATTCTTGCTACAGAGGAGTGATGTCTACAGGGAAAACTCAGGGGGGGGGGGGGGTCATTACATTTAAAGAGACACACACTCCAAAACAGAGCGTTCTGAGAGAGCTGGCTTATACAGGGTCAAAAACCTCCTCTGGTGATTGATTCATGTTATATTTTGACCAAAGCACAGCACAGATGTTTCATAAGACCACAGGGGACTGTTTAAAAAGGTAGACAAGGGGGATAATATGTCCTCTTTAAGAATAAAGTTCATGTTGTCTTTGGGTTCTCCATCCAGGAAGCGTGATTATTTTGCAACATGGTAATTATCCTACATAAACGTCCCTTCTATTCCTCTCTGCTCAGGTCTCAAAACATCAGGTTGATTCCTTGAACTGAGAATGATTGAGAAGATGAAAAGTGAGGTTTTTCTTCATTCATGGGTAACATGTCTGTATGAAATAGTGTGCAGACACTAAATTGAGGAGTCCTTTTAGTGGGTGGAGTTTTTTTTCTGTTTCGCGTCCTTTTGACCTCGAGAAAAACCACAGCGGCTAAATTTGTCCGAAGTTTGTGGCAACTAAAAGCAGCAAAATTACTAATTTATTGCAACATCTCAAGCAGAGACATTTAGTTCAGTGTGAAGCATCCTGAAATCACCTCCAAATGAGCTAACTTTAGCAGCATCAAATTGTATTACGCTATAAATTGGTGTGTGAAAAAGTTTAGCTTTTACCATCGAGTCATCCAGTCTTTTAAAATCAGTTTGAAGATGCGTTCGTGCTAAGGGGTGTCTTTGTTTTATACATTTTACAGCTGCTAACCTTGTTAGAGATAGAAAAGAGTGCATGAAACATCAGTCAAGGTTCCCCTGAAGACTTACTTAATACTTGGGGCGCTGTGGATGAGTGGTCAGGGCGCGGCCTTATGTGCAGAAGCTGTAGTCTTTGAAGCAGGTTACCCAGGTTCAAATCTGACATGTGGCTCCTTTACCAGCATGCCATTCCCCCTCTCTCTCTCTCTCTCTCTCTCTCTCTCTTTCTTTCTCTCTCTCTCTCTGATTTCGGAGTCTATCCACTGTCCTACCTCTTCAAAAAAGGCACAAAAAGCCGAAAATGAGTGCTTAAAAAAAGACTCACTCAATACTAAACTCACAGTTCCATTCTTGCTGAACTCGTCAAGCTTTAGATCTTCATGCCTGAACTCTTTGGTCATCTATATCTTTGTGAGTTATAAATCATTTACGTGACAAACGGATGCCTGAAGCTGGCAACACACTTTATGATAGGGCAAAATCCCCAAGACGATTTGGTGCCCCGTACGAGGCTCGTTGAAATCGATTATTTGTCCAAATAATCCTCAAAAGTTTGTTGATACGATTATTTTACTGCTATTGATTGAGTCCGAGGCATTCCCTGTTTGATCACTTGACTTTCTCTGAGATCTCGTGTCTATGGAATAGTTACTACAAACAGCCTATGTGTTGGCTCGTCGTCTGGCTGACTTGTCTAGCGTGTGTTCAGAGGATGATAATGTTGATTATAGGTTGAAGCCATCTTTAAAGTCTGCGTGTGGTCGATTTGAAAATCGTTCGTGTGCAGCCGACCTAAGTAGGCAACTGGTGGTGACGAGATGACTAACCCTGAGTACATTTTTGTACAAAAATTAGCAGTTATTTTCACCGTGCTTTGAGGAACAAAGGTGGGCACACAGGTAAACAAACACTGGAGAGAGTATTTATAGGTGAGAGGCAGGAAATGAGAGCAGAGCTGATGCCAAGGGGAATAAAAAGCTTCAGGGTGTGAATGTGTGTGGGCGGTTTGGGGTGCTGTATCCATTGGTTTTTACTTTTTTAATGTCTCACACTCACTTCCTCTTTGTCCCTTGGCACCAAACACCATTACTCACCTGTTAGTGTGAGAACAGCAGGTGAAAATAGGGGGAGGGGGTGGACTAATGTCTCTTTCTAGTTTCTAAATTAGGTTTTGTCAGAACATCCTGATGTGACTATCTTGGTGATAAATAAGTGACCTGTATTTGAGAGGTGTTTCCAGCCTTAAGGCTTCAGATGTAGAACCAGATGTGAAACTGTGCAGCTCATTTGATCCGTCATCTGCATTGAAAATAGCAGCTGTCCTCATTTCCATCGGCCCACTGACGAGCTTTTCTGGGTTTTCTAAATGGGCCAGCTCCAGTGTGAATCAAACCGAGGACTTGTGATTTGTGATTGATAAAACCTCAAGCACTGGAGGAGAAAATCAAGCCTCGTCTGAGCTTTGTGAGCCTGTGTTGAAGAGTTCTGAGTAGTGGAGGACGTCTTGGTTTAGCCTTAAAGCTTACATGTTGACTAAAGTTTGAGAGCTGCCCCCCTAAAAGAAAGTGAAATTAAATTTAAGGCGAGGAAAAGATCAGCTGTGTGAGGCTGCAGCCAGGCTGGAGATGACGAGTGAGCAGCACTCAGGCTCCTAATCCTGTTATGTCACAGATTAGCAGCGTTCTGTGCAGCGGATGGATGGGATGATGTGGAGAAGCGAGCGCTGACCCGGTGACTGCTGGGATTACAGCTCCTGTAAAAGCACATCCCATTGGTCTGATTAGGATTACAGGCTCGTAAAAAGACACGCGATTGGAGAGGACGAGAGCGCCTCTGGTTGGAGGCATGACGGGATTACCAAGTCTGTGCCATTGGTGCTGGTGGAGATCACACTCACTGCTTATTGGTGGATCAAGTATGACAGTTTATGATTGGTCTGTACCAAAACAAGGTTAACGTTTGAATTTTCTTAGTTTATATCAGGAGCCCCCTGATTTCAAAGTACTGTCTGGTTCACTGCTTTCTATAATTCTAAACATTAAAGAGAGCTGTCTCCCCCCTCCCCCTCCTCTCAAGAGTTTATGCTCATGCAGGTAGCCATGTCTTGGACAGTGAAGCTTCAGTGTTTAGCCAGCTCTGCATCGGTCTGTAAACCTTTCTGCGTTCTAACCTCTCTCCAACGTAAATGTCCAACATATACATTTAAGATGGACAAGTGCAACCTTTGCAGCAATGGAGGACGGCTGAGGCTCTTACTGTAACAGTGAGCTGCACGATGGCAGTAGGAAGTTACAGAATAGTGTCATCTGCATAGTGATGGACCTGTAGAAAAGGTGTTTTTTTACATTTCTATCCCAATTTTAAAAAACTTTTCTACCTTATCATGTAAATGTTGGTATTTCCCTCCGCTCTAAATGCTAATCTTTGATTGTCTTTTGTCCTAAATGATGAGCCTCCACTCGCCGTTCCTCTTTGTCACTTTGTACTTTTTGTTCAGAATCCTATTAACCTGTAAGATGACCTGCTGCTCGATCAGACGGTATTCTTCTTCTGCAGAAGTAAAAACGACTTTGTATAATAAGAGAGCACAAAAGCTTTACAAATGAGAGGGTTCGACCCCGTTCTGTAAGACAAACTGGATATGTGCTTCTCTTTCCTGCAGCTCGCAGTAATGACTTACGACTGTTAGTTTTACTGCTCATTTGTTCCCCGGCAGGAGGGACACAGCGATGGGAGACGTGTGATAAATGTGGAATCTCTTGTCGGAGTCTGAAACATTTCAGGAGGTCTCAGCAGACAGATGTGACATGTGTGTGTTTCTCTCTCTCTTTCCACAGATCACCAGAAGCTGGAGCGAGAGGCCCGGATCTGCCGCCTGCTCAAACATGCCAATATCGGTAAGCACAGCTCCCGTTCTACATGTTGGATCTCACTGTTAGCGTGTCACAGGAAGGGTTATGTTTAATGTATATCTAAGTGTATCTGAACATACAAAGGGTAGCCTGAAGTACCTTCACCAGATGTATAGATTCATGAAAGATTTATTCTATGCACCATATCCACACTCTCTGTCTAAGCACTTTTGACAGCGGGCAATATCTGCAGGACAGCCACAGTTCAGTTCCTTCAACACATTATACAGTATTCTTTACACAATGACTGTGTTATAAAAACAACATTTTAAGACGTAAAAATCGGCTTACAACGGCTTCAAAACTTGAAAATATCAGGGTAAGTACAAACCAAACAAGGATCTAGAGGAGAGGGAACACCGTCAGATAAGACCTTTGCACACTTCAGTCCATTTTTTCTGATGCATTTTTTGGTGCGATCAAGCTGTGAAGATGATTTTGTGGTTCTTTCAATCCTTGAAAAAAAATCAGGGTCCGTCAACATGACGACAAGACAGGATCACAGAGAGTTATACTGGAGATGCAGAATTCTCCTGATCGCTCCCAGGTGTATGTCAGGATGTCAGTTTGATACGCTGCTCTACTTGAACAACACATAAAAAAAACACTATCATTTTCTGTGAAGCATAATGATCCTGAACAGCGGCTGGTAGTATGTTTGAGGTAGGACACTACAGACACATGCACACACAATCAGGGCTGGATGCGAAAAAACACAGGAAGTCAAAACCTGTCCCTAAACAAATATTGATGGACGAAAGTTTTGGAGAGACATGTTCATCACACACATCGACCCGAATTACACACACATGCACAAACAGGACTTGTGGTTATGCATTAATGAGATGTCAGATTGGGGGCTGCTACACAGGGAGCGTGTCTGAGCTGTTGGGGGTTTGGTGCCTTGCTGGTACTCGGGAAGTGACCTGGTACCTCTCCAGCAACCAACCAACTTCTTTCTTTTGCTCTGCACCGGGACTTGAACCTAAGTACCTGCAGACTGAGCTGCTAATTAAATACAGCAGTATAAAGGAAATGTTTTAAGGGATGGGGCATCTCTGTTGAAACTTTGAAGGGCATTCCACCTTTTTGGAGCATAGAAGCTAAAGGCTGCTTCACCTGCGTCCTCACCTTGTGAGGGACAAGGAGACCACTATTTGAGGATCGAAGGCTTCTTGTGAGCAATTCTTTGATATAATGTGGGGCAGGGCCATTTAGCGCTTTATAACCTGTTTTATAATAAAGCATGATTTAGGATGATTTTCTTCACATTAACCATCACAACTCAGATTCACAGATGTCTGAACTGAAGCTGTATTGTTGTGGTTAGTCCAGCTAATTCATCCTGTTCTCTGGATTGTGCAATCGCAGCATCTATAAATAGATCACATCTGCACCCTTACCTCCTCCCCAACACACACACACACACACACACACACACACACACACACACACACACACACACACACACACACACACACACACACACACACACACACACACACACCTCCCTGTCTCTTCCCTCCTCGCTTCAGGAGTCACAAAAGCCAACAAACTGTAATTACCACTTCAGAAACGACTTTCCCACACAGTGAAAATTGGTGTTTATTTGTTGCCTAGTCCCTTTTTTCTTTTCTGTTGTGTGAAAAAAAAAAAAGGTGAGGGGTTGCAAACGACAGACTAATAGAGGACCAGGGGGTTATTTGGTTTGACGGTCTATTGTCCTGGAGTCAGTAGAAGACAAACGTATCACAGAGGCTTAGTTTAAACAGGGATGTTTCACAGAGAAGAAAGAAACCAGACCAAGCTGTGGTGCAGTCCTGTCAGCAGCAGCTTTTCATAGCTGGTTAAATATGTTTTTTTTCCATTGGCTCCCATTATGGTGTGACGATCACGTTCTCAGTTTAGCAAGTATTTGGCTCATGGTGGATTAAAGTTCTCCTGAAATTATCTTGAAATGTTTGAGTGCAGACGTGAAAACGAATTAAGAGAATGAATTCCAAAGCATCAAAAATTGAACTCTACTTCTTTTCCTGGAAGGTAAAACATGTCATCCTCCTAACATAAACCCTCTGAGTATTTGTTATATCATACACAGATTGAAAAATCAAAGATTCCAGGATTGAGTGCGTCACCACAGATTCACATTTCTCACCTGCTCCTCCTTTAGAGACACCATCCGTCTCCCTCCAGATGGTGATTGACGTTGAGCAGGTCGCGCTGGACCCATCATTATTCCATTCACACTGAATCCAGCTCTGGGAAAACCCCTTATTCCCCCCTGGTTGTCATGGTGATACTGTAGATCTTATAGATGTCAATCAGGAAACGAGATGTTGGAGAATACCCACTGGAGGATCTTTTCCCTTTTGTAGAATCTTTTGATCTATTCTGCCCGGATCTCAGCTGTTTGTATTTAACTTCTCTTGAGTACTGAAGTACGAAGCCGCTCTTTCAAGAGACCCACTCCCCTGTATTTATAGTCACTCACACCCTCAGTAGAAGTTTATTAAAGCTGGCCGCACACTAGACGATTTTAGGCCTGATTTGCCCCCAAAACGATCAGAGGAGTGTGGCTGTTGGAGGCTTGTTGTTTCAGATTTTTTTGTCCAAAGAATCCTCAAATGTGTGATGTCACTACGATACGAGAAACGGAGCATCCCCGATCATCCCCGTTCAGGTCGGACTTGGAAGCGTCACCAACCGGATGTTGCTTACTCTGACAAACAGCTCATAATCCGTCTTCTCAGCCTAGATTTCATCCATATTGTCCGTCTCATTTTCCAATTTTTGCTGCAAAACAAAACACACAGTAGGACGGCCAGATGATAACATTGATCATCCTAATTCTGCATCATGCTGACTCTAAATGGAAGTGTATTTGGTTTACTGCCCTGTAATGCCTTAATGTATATAGGGTTTAAATAGAACACGCTTTGTGTTTACGGTTAAACTTGGACCAAAATCTAGGTTCTAAATTTAGATTCACAGCACACAGTTATGAATCAGACTGCAGCAGGACAAGTTGAATTTACCAAATCTATCTGCTGGTTGAAAAGTGGTGTAGCCAACCTCCATCATGGATCTGGTCTTGGAACAGTCTGGACTTACGCTAAAAGGAAGCTTAATTTTTAGAAACGGGGTACAGCCTTCCCTTTCTGCACTGCGTTAAAAGATGCACCTATTCATCAAAAATGCGATGGTGCTTGGTAACACAGAAACTTTTTTTTGCATGTAGGTTACCTCTTCTCCTTGAATTTCACTTTGAATCTTAGGACACATTTCCATGAGAAACTTGACACGTGCTATCTTTCACTGTGGTCAGAATGTAATAAACTCGCTCCACACATTGGAACAGTCAGTCCTGCTGCCAGGAACGCTCATTAACCTCAGAGTTAATGGCACAGTATAGGTGCAGCAGACCTTGTCAGCAGCAGCATGTTAGTCTCAGTTTCGCCAACCCTTCGTCTCTTCACACTGTGTCATTTCATGTCCATGAGACGGGGGTAGTTAATTGGGTCAGTGAAACCTCGACGTTGGCAGAGTCGTCGTCACCGCTCTCTGAGCTGCCTTCACCCTCTTCTTGTTCAACAAAGTGGAAGAGACAGCCCTGCTCTGTGGCTTGTTCAGAACACCTGAGCACTAAAAACAGAGCAGCAGGGGTGAGGTGTGAAATATCTGCCAACTGATTCAATAGCAGAGGCATGTTAATGAGTTTACATAAGAGGAATACGCTTTAAAGTCGTCCTCAGGTACTGTTTGTCTCTCATGGTGGAGCTGAAGAAATTCAATGGCGTTGACAGACTGCCAGTTGAAGGCAGGATACTTACAGTACACCCCTGTTATGCTCTTCATGCATTGAGTACTGCAAGCATGTGGCAAAGTCGATCTGTCATCAGAGGTAGCAACAGGGATGTAATCTGGGGAAGACTGTGGGGATGTGTAACATCTGAGCAGGCAGGCAGATCAGCGCTGTGAGTATGCACCGGGACACAAACATTACACTTTTAAGGATGCAGTATGGAAGTACAAAGGAGTAATGACGGCAGAACTACAATGATAATCTCTCAGAAACCGACTGTGCCATGTTACATTTAGGGTTGAGTCTTTTGAAGTCATAGAATACAGGAGCTGCATTTCTACCGCTGCCTTGTAAGGCAGTATTTCAAATAAAGGCAACGGCAGACCAGCAACTCCTGGTCTCCGAGTTTTCCTGAAATAAGATGTAAAAACTTTGAATGTTTTTTAATCTAGAAAACAAACCACTGTATTGTTATAGATATCGAAGCACCAGAGCCCACCGCACAGAAATGAAATTAATCACATCTTTACTGCAAATGGACCGGACACTGATGTTTGTTCAGATTGTGTTTCTGTGTGCTCGTTCTTTTGTCTCCTCTCTGACAAAAGTCATTTCAATTGTTTTTGTCTCTGACAGAAAGATAAATGGTATTTATTTTAAAGTGTCTCTTTGAGCAAGAACAAAATGTAAAAAAGTTTTTTTTAAAAACAGTTCAGCAGTACTCAACTCTTAAAGGGTTAAACTGTGAATGAATACTGGTGATTTAGTAGACTTTGATTTTCTTTGCTACAGACAATAATCCTTCCAAAATGTGAACGAGTTAGCTGAACATGACGGCTGATTTCTCAAACTTTTTAATCACACAGAGAGTGAAACAACAGGTCACGCGCTCTGTGCCCAATTTGCATCAAATTAAAATTTTTTTTTTTTTACAGTTACCTGCTGCAGCAGAGAAACACTTTACATAATTCAAACGACTCTGATTTCTCTCTTTTCTCCTCCACAGTGCGGCTCCACGACAGCATATCAGAGGAAGGATTCCACTATCTGGTCTTTGACTTGTAAGTGTCATATTTACTTATCCTACACTAATCCTACTCGTGCACCGCTCACACACACTCACACACACTCACACACACTCACACACACTCACACACACTCACAACACACACTTCCTCACATTCACGTCATGCAGGGGAGAGGTATGAACCTGACAGCTGCCGGTCACATCACTGAGGCATCATGGGAGATTAGATGTGCCATGTTCACCTCTTCTTTAGCTCCATCTGTCAGCAGCGGCGTGCGCTCACTCATCATCACACACTCATCATGTCCTCATAATGCAGAAACATGACATTAAATACGACTACATCAGATTTGATCAAACACTAAAAACATTAAACCAGCTCAAAGTGTCAGAAAGTCAGACTGCATGTACGTTACTTTTTAGGATGGCCAACAGTTTGTTCATTAGTCTCTTCTCTGCCGCTGTCACCAGACAGTCCGGACCACAGAGCCGCCTGCTTTCTGTTCCCGCAGTCGTTGTTTCTTCTCCTGAGTAGAATCCTGATTGGACATACTGCAGATTCTCTGAGCAAAGAGGAGTCAGCTTTAAAAGAATGTTCCCTCAAGTTTACAGCTTGATTACAACCTTTAAATGAAGCGTTGTAACAGATGCTGCGTCAGAGGAAATCCTCCTCACACTTCATATTTGGGTCACTTCCTCGCCACTGAATGAAGGCCAACAAAAACACCAGGACTCCTCGCAGCTTTTTACAACTGAATCTGTCACAACACCAGATTCATTCAAAGCTGAAAAGTCAAACGTGGAAACCTCGAGAGACTGAAATGGTGATTCCCCCCCCAAACATGGTCATGGAAACTGTTTTAATCCAGAATATCCTTCATCTCTTTTTCCAGGTTTTAAAGCAGTTTGACCCACTTTTCCACATCTCAAAGACTTGTGTGTTGATTTCACACCAGAGGGTTCAGTAACTTTACACGGCCGGGGAAAGTTTGTCCTGTGAAGACGCAGCTTCTTGTGTTCTGTGGCTCTGACAAAGTGAACGTGTCTCAACTTGAAAAACCACTTAATGAAGAGAAAAACCTGTTTGGAACTGAAGCAGTTTGTGCTCACATTCATTAGTTAAAGGCAGGGTTGGTCATTTTCAAAAACTAGCATGATTTTGAAAGTAGCATTCCCTCAGTGCTCCGTCTACACCCATGCAGCAGGATATACTCAGGAGAGTTCAGCTCAAGCCAGGGATAGGGATAGTGTCCCAGTGTGAGGTGCGTATGTGAACAGTCAGGTCAGGAGAACATCCACAGCAGTCCTAGTCCAAGAACCTTTAGTTGATTTGCTTTCAGGTGAATCTGCGTCCAAGCAGGATTATGTTTCAGCCGTCACAGCGTGTTTCAAGGCTGCAGGCTGAAGCAATCATTTTGCAGCACTCAAACCTTTTGTTCCTATTAAAAATATGTTATCAAAGAAGGGACCCTGGTTTGAAACTAGACATTGAAGAGTCAAACGTTGTTACACCTATAATAAGACTTAATAAGACTGTGTGATCCATTTGTTCCTCCTCCTTCTCCCAGCTGCTTCCCTCATGGACTCTTATCGGCTGTTCATGACCATGAGGTTCTCTCCGCTCCAAAGCTGGAATCACAGCAGGATGTAAAGTGCTCTATGTTCTCTCCACTTTGGAGAGATTTTCATGTCGGCGTCTCTGGTTTGGAAAAGCACTCCGGCTCTTTTGCAATCAGCTCATGGAAAGACGTGAAACTTCTTCCAGCTGAATAAACACTGACCGCACAGTGTGGGAAACATTTCTGCAGTAATAAATCATTGTAGTCATTTCAACATCTCTCCTTTGCCTCAGCTGATGACACTTTGAGCAACATTATGAGCCTTTCTTTCCCCCCCTCTGGGTGCAGAAATCTGTGACTGAACAGTTCTCTGCTCTAACAGACGTTCGGGTGTTTTCTCTCTCTCTCATCCCGTTTCTTCCTGTGATGTCGTTTCTGATTCTCCTCCAGAGTGACCGGTGGCGAGCTGTTTGAGGATATTGTTGCCAGAGAATACTACAGTGAAGCCGATGCCAGGTCAGTAACGCCCTGATGTGTTTATGTTTGTGAGTTCACTGTGAATATGTGAAACTGTGGCACTAAAGGCATATTCAAATAAATCAGGTAAATCCATGCAAGTCATAGAAAAACCTCTCGATCAGCGTGATGTCAATTTGAACCTATAAACCTAACACATAATCTGCCTTTAGTGCGAAACAGATCTCCTTTAGAGTTTCTTTATTTTCTGTCATTATAAATGTTCTTTCTCGACTCTCTACCCTCTGATGTGTTTTATAAAAATTCACTCAAAAAGAACTCCATCTGGGGGTGCCGGTAACCTAGTGGTTATGTCGCGCCCCCCGTGTACAGAGGCTGTAGTCCTCATCGCAGCGGCCGTGGGCTCAAATCTGAACTCTGCCCTTTGCTGCATGTCATCCCCCCACTCCCTCCTCCCAACATTTCCCACCTGTCTTCAACAGTTGTTGCCAATAAGGGCAAAATGGCCCAAAAAAATGTTTAAAAAAACAAAAGAAAATTGAAAGGAGTTGATTATAAAACCTGTAAGTCAAAGATTAATTTCAGATTTTTCTCTAACTGTTGAAACTGTAATGCTTTATTTTTTGCACCTTGAATGTAGTTTGATGAAACAGCTCCAAAAAATTCTGATTCTGAAATTAATCATCCAGATTCAGAGGTTTCTTTGTTACATGCTGAAGATGTGGACTCTGTTTTTGAGTGGACTTTTATTCCTTTAAAAAAAATCGTTAGAAGTTAAAATTTGAAATGTTTGTATAAATAAAAAGATGCACCTGTGCCCTCTCTGGTTTCCTCTTCCTGTAGCTCAAAGGGACAGTTCAACAATCTGCTTTCTTTACAAGAGTGACATGGTTAGCTTAGCATAAAGACTGGCTGCAGGAGGAAACAGCTGGCCTCGCTCCGTCCATCATTTAGAAACAGAGTCAAACGTAAAGTCAAGCTGATGATCACAGGCTGTAGTGACACAAACGTCAAAGATGAACATCCCAGCCAGGTGTGGAGTCACGTGTCTCTGATCATCACTGCAGCGAGACTTTGCAGGAGGCCGTGTTGTAAACGCTTCTCTGGGTCTGCGGTCCCATCTGGTCGTAAAATCCAAACTGAGAAGAAGCAGAATAAAAATGTCTCTTTTTGCAGAATTACCTGACAAAGCATCAGACTTTTAAGTTGTGTAGTTCAGAATCCTTTAAGTCCAGTTATTTCAATCGAATCACTTCAACATGTTGAGTTTAAGTTCAAATCACTAAAACCACACTTTCTATTTGCACCAAGCTTATAGGGCTTTCACACTCGCACAAAACTCCTGAAAACATGCTGAAGTTTTTCAGCCGGAGCTGCATGTGTGAACACAAACAGTCATATTTTTTCACTCTGACTTCACCCGGAGTTTCTCCTCCAGCCTCCTCGTGTTTATTTTGCAGAAAGTCAGAGTGAGCTGATGTGAGAACACAGCAGGATATAATCAGGAGAATTCACCTGGAGCGAGTGGAGGGGGTGGTGACTTTTATTCCAGTCAGTCCAGGGTCAGTCCTCCTGAAATTCTCTAGAAATTTTCAGGCCTTCTTCTGTAAACGACATGACAAGCATGAGATAGATATCTTTATTTATTCCTCACTCTTGGGAAAGAAAGTGATTGTTTGTTTTTGCCAGACGTTTGACCTGTTCCTAAATATTCTCCTCTGTGGATCCACTGTTGTTGTTGTTGTTGTTGTTGTTGTTGTTGTTGTTATTTCATGTGTTTGGTGTGTTCAGTCTGTGTTTCCTGACATTTACCTGTTCTCCCTCTTCCTCTCCTTTCTGCTTCTGGCCCGGTGTCTCTCTCCTCCACAGTCACTGCATACAGCAGATTCTAGAAAGTGTAAATCATTGCCACATGAATGGCATAGTGCACAGGGACCTAAAGGTTAGTAAGTGACCACAATAACAACAACAAAAAGAACACAAAAAAAAAAAGAAAACCTGCCCGCCCGCCAGCTCACGGCACCTCGCCTCGCTCCTCACTGCCTGATCAGTCAACAAATTAACCCTTCACCAAGCGCCCGCTCCTCCACCACTCGCCCTCACTCAGTGTTTTTAACTCCGCCTGCTGCAGGGCATTGTGGGTGCGCTGGCCGGAGTGGAGGCGATGGGTCATGTAGTATCGAGGAGGGGGGGGCTGGTAGATCTCATCATGGCCTGCCCCTCCTGTAAGCCAGGGCACAAAGTGCATGTAGCATCTGTGTGAAACCATGCTCTGACACTGAGAGGACGACGCCTGAGAGACCAAGAGGAGGAGGAGGAATGTTTGTTCTTATTAAGAGATCATCTGTATCCATGTAAGACGATTTGTTCTCCAAAATATGACACGAAAGTTGTCCACAAAAACGTCATTTCAAATCAGAAATGTAAGCTTGAAGTAGTGTGCAACTGAAAGCAGCTCCTCTGTCGTAGTTCTATAAACAAAATTATGATGTCAGTAAATTATAAGGATGAATTAAACACTAGCTGAGGACTCTCAGCGCAGCCTGCTTCTACTAAAACCTTCTGTGCCTGTGAAGCATTTACACGTCAGAGACCCCGCGTCAACCTGCCGTTTTTTTTCTAAGCGCTAGCGTCTTTTTTAAATTGTTTCTTTTCATCACGATATGTTTGAAATAGAGTTTCAGGGGCGCCAGTAGACACTTAGAAATTATTCAAAACATCCATTGTTTGTCCAGTCAGAAGGCAGGGACAGAAGTTTAAAAAAAATCTGAATTAGAAACGAATGAATGTTAAATAAATGTTTAGAGATATTTAGAGACAGGACAGCGGATAGAGTCAAAAAACAGAGTTGGGCAACGACGTGCAGGAAAGAGCCACAGGTCGGACTCAGACCCAGGCTGCCTCCGTCCTTGCAGAACACGCACCACTAAGCCACCGGCGTCCCGAGTTTAGACTAAAAAGAAATTTTCTGATTGAAATACCAGGTTGCAACTCGGCTAAGTTTTTGAGCCCATCTGTTGCTACAACTACTTCCTGCTAAAGATGCTAATCATGCGTTCTGATTGGCTCTCAAAGCTACATGAGATTTAAAGTGCCAGTCATAGTCCAGACTTAAAGAACCAACGTTGTCTTGGCACATACAGTATAATACAGACTTAAACATAAGGAGAACATACTGACCCGACAAGAGCTTATGCTGTGTAAATGTCCCAACACGGTCCATCTTTATGGACAGGTAACAAGCACACCTCTGGATAAACTTTTTTGACTGCTCTGAAATCCAAAACTGAAAGAAAGTCACTTAAACAAAATAATTCTTGGTTTCCTTGTCGCATCAAAAACAGTCGAGTCACTGTGAGGTAAAAACAGTTTCTAAATCTCAGGCTTGATCATTTCTAATTTGTTGATTTGGCAGCACTAACTCTTAAACAGTGCCGGCTTATTATTGATCAGCAGTGACAGATGGAAAGTCCTGTGTCCCCCTCCTCAGTCTCTCAGTGTGCGGCCTCCAGTTGGCCAGGAGCTAACACCACTTCTGTTTTGAGACTCGGGCAGAGATTTGGCCGTGTTGCGTGAGTCATAGATAAAATCACAGCTATTTTCTTTTTTGTTCCTGGGTGTGTGTAAGTGGGATTTTAAATTTGGAATAATTGGTCTAAATTGTGCCACATTATGGCTGCCGAGCAGAACGGCGTGATCGTTGCTGCTCAGCCTCGTTGCTGACACGGCCAGCGGCTCCCCGAGTGTCAAAGCGAGCTCTCAGCCACAGACAGTGAGTGGTAGCTTGTCACTAACCCATGGCCCCCTGGTGTTTGCATGCAGTCATTGCATTCAGCAGATCCTAGAGGCCGTGCTCCACTGCCACCAGATGGGCGTGGTCCACCGCGACCTCAAGGTAAGTACACTCACCATGACGACCAAAACGACACATAATCCTCTCTTCCTTCCCTTTCGTCCCGGGGCTCCAACATGTCCTCTCTACTTCTTCCTCCAGTTTCTTCCCTCTTCTCACCTCTGCTATGTCGTAATTTCAGAGACACATTACACTTTCATGTTCCATCTTAACGTGCAGATTATACTTTACGTCTTTAACTTTATTTATTTATTTTTTAATTTTAACGTAACCAGATTTTTTAACAATAATTACACTTGGAAATTGGGCCCGACTGATATTGGATTTTTGGGGCCGATATCAATATTAGGAAGAGAAAATAATCTGCTACTGATACTGTGCTGAGGTCGACACCCTCTGAGAGTGATGATGCTTGTTGTAATCTTTATAGCGCCCTCTGCTGGTGACAAAGAACTGCTAGTGTAAAACAATGAAACTCAAATGAAATGCTATTAACTGGTGAATAAATCTCGTAATCTGAGCACATATCAGCGCTAAAATTAGCTGTTACCAATAGTCACTCTATATGTTAAAATCGGCACGTGTTATCGGCCGGATGATTAATCGGTTGGGCTTTAATGTAAGGCTCCAAATGTGAACATCCGTTACTCTTGCATCAGGGGAGGATTAACCTTGTCTGCATGGATGAGTTACTTCTGATGGTCACTTTACTCAGCAGCCTCTACCATCAGTGTGTGAATGTGAAGGTGTGACCTGCAGTGTAAAAGCACTTTGAGCAGTCAGAAGACACTAAAGAAATGTAAGCTCAAGTTCATTTACCATGAGTTTAAATGCACAAAATTTAAAATTTTATATAGCCACACAAAACAAAAAGCATTTGTCATTTACTTCCTGCTCTTTTTATTTTCATCTGAAGGAGCAGGTTGTGATCTTAATGCACAAACACAAAGCAGAACATGCATAATTTAGGTTCGATCTCATGGAACAATGAAGACAATCCCTCCAACATTTTGAATAACAAGTGATCACAGATGGATGGCAATGAATGGCTGGTGTGTCGAGCTTGCAATACAGTTTCCAATCTTTACTCACAGGCATGGCGTTTTAGTTTGAGAGCACGGTTTATTAATTAAGCGCCCAGGTTTAATAATGCTCCTCCTAAAAACAAAACAAACAGAGCCGACATGCCTTTAGATTAGCTCTGATTGTGCTCACACTTCCTGGTGCAGATTTTGGGTATTGTGTTTTACTCTTCAGGTATCTTTTGATCCCTTTCATAATTCCTGGAGACGGGCGGTTGTTACATTTTCCGTCATTCTCTTAGCTGTATTTGGAGGGAGTAAAAACTCTGTCTTGTAACTGGGTCATAAAAGTTGACATATGAAGGGTGATGGTCTCTCCTCCTGGTGGAGTGATGGAGGTCAATAAAAACCCACAGTGGTCGTATTTCCATCCCTAATGCTGCTTTTTCTCACCATGGTTTGCCCCCAAAGCTCTGATTTGCCAATCAAATGAATCAGGTGTGTCTGAGGTTCGGTTTATATCCAGCAATGTAGGCTCGTATTTTTGCATGGGCCCTCTTTCTGCGCTCTGATTGGCCGTTGCCAGGCAGCAGCCGTGGCTCAGTGCAGAAACACAAAGGCAAAACAAATACAAGCAAAACAAATACAGAGCGGAGGCACTATGGAAAGCACTGTGGGCCACATTCTGTGTGTATCCATCTAATTTTATTTCTCAAGACAACGATTCTGGGTCGTACAGGGAGTTCAAAACAAACACACACACACACACACGATGCAAAGTTGTCTAATGTGAACTTTTCTGGATGAAGGAACTTACTTCAACACTACTTGAATTTGCTTCACTGACTTATTTTATTCACATCTTTCCTCGTTATGTCCTTATTGCCGTGTAGATTTATAGAATAAACAGAAATGCAACATGGGAGACAGGCAGGGGGGAAATAGAGTAAATAGGCAACAATTTCATCTAAAATTTACAGTAAATTATTGTAGAACTATAGCACAAACGTGTGCTAATTGTCTCAATCGGTGGTTTCAAGTCTTCTGCAAAAAAGCATGATGTTCATTTAGTAAATAATGGTCCCCTTTAGAGTGAATGCATGTCAAACCCAAGTGGCAACATCCAATGTGGAAAAATGAAGCTGATGTGGAAGTGTAAAATCCTGCAGTTCCTTGAGTGTCCTCTAGAGGCTGGCTGCAGAAGCACAGGAAGTCACATACACACCCAGCAGAGATTAACATGTTTACAGCCTGGTTAAAAAACAAAACAAATAGGTGTGATTAGCTCATGTCTCGATGACCTGAATCCACCTCTCATGTCCAGTCTAATGTTTGACCAGAGGGGGCTGTCTTTTAAAAAGTTTTTATCTGGGATTGGAGGGGTCTGTTACTAAGAGGCCAACAATTACCCACACACTGACCCAGGAAAAATCCCATTAAACATCTTCAAAAGTCAGTAAGCCTCAAGTGGACTGTTTTCTGGCTTTTCACCCTGGCTGCATTTTTCATTCGTTGCTTGTAAGGTTTGGGGTCAGGTTGCAGGGATAGCTACCTGTCAAACAAAGTGTAGTCGCTGTTCACCTTCTATTTTTACTCTGAATGGGACTGTAGTTTTCAAATTCAACATGCAGATCATTTAGTAGAGAATTCAAACTAGAGATTCAGAATATAGGCTTATTAGAAAAAGGTTAAATGACAAGTAGAACTATTTCTCAGAAGCCCGTTATAGAATTTGTTTTCTTTTTGCATCCAGTGGAGTCGCCCCCTGCTGGCCAATATAAAGAATGCAGGTTTCATGCACATTTGCATTGTCTTCACTTTTAAGACCTGAAGGCAACATGCAGGTCACATAGGTTACATTTCTTTCCAGCGGGTTAAAAGGGGTGGTTGTGGTGGGTTAGGTTAAGCTGATAACTGTGATGTTTGCAATGACTGCATGATACTAATGAATGCATTTACCCCGACTCCTCTCTCTCCTCTTTTGCCTCCTTTCCTCCTCCTCCTCAAACCTTTGACTCACAGCAGAGGTTTGAGGAACTGCACGACTCAGAAATCACACATGCTCTACTAACTGCTCAAGCAACCCTGAAATACGAACACTGACTGATGGAGATGGATTGTTGTTGATTTCATGAATGACATGTTTGATGCTTTCTGGGATTAAAGCCTCGAGCAGAATGTGAAGAAAGTCTGTGAGGAGCTGCGTGAGCCACAATTCATTCTGGGGTGTCTTTTATACATCTGTTCTCTGAGGAGAAAAGGCATTATGTATGTGTGAGTGAAACACATGTACTGCAACAAGAAAGAGCAGAATTTCTTAGAAATATCTTAAGTAAAGCTTTTCATTTTTGTGACCAAAGTGAAGTCAGCTTTTGTGCTGTGCTGTACCATAAAAAGTTTAGGACAGTAATTCATGGCTGCAGATTTTCCAAATTACTCAAATTTGTCTTCTGTGGTGCGTTCAGTTTGATCTCAGAAGTCAGAGATTCCGAGTTCCTGAGTTCATGTTGCACGCCCATTAACTTCTGTAGCACGCCCACGATATGCCGTAGCCTGCAGTAGCACAGTAGTGCTAAGGTGCTAATGTTTTGCTCCCCTTGGAAGGAGCCAGTGGCTGCATTCACAATATGATAAAAGGGGCGGGACATTTCCGAGAACCGTGCTGCGACTGACCAATTACAGCAGAGCCGACAGGCCGACCAATCAGATCAGACTTGGCACACGTGGGGACTCTGAACATGGGCACTTCAGAGCCTTAGAGAGAGAGTCAGAAGCGAGCCGGTGCATGGAGCGGCAGTACATGAAAACAGACACTTTTTTAGAACTTTAGCTATTGTGAACATACTTTAGTACATAGATTAAATATACGAACCCCAAAAAGGGCATAATATGACCTCTTTAAAATTCCCAAATAAAAACAAGGACTAGTGGATGCATTTGGAACAGACACATTACAGCCTGAAGTTCAGCTGAAGCAGTCTACTGGAGTGAACTTTAAAAACAATCTATTAGTCATTAAGAGACAGAAATATTTACGATGCACCCGCACTTAAAACAAGAAGACGTGCAAGTGAAGTTTTATAAGTATGATTGTATGCAAAGGGCTCCGAATGAATTGTGGCCTGTGTGGTTCTTCATATTTAATATCCAGGGTAAAATCACTTTTGATATTTAGTTATAATTAAAAGCCTTTTCCCTTTTGATCACCCCCTCCTCTTTTATTGTTGTCTGAGCACTTTACAGCTCAGTAGTTCAGAATAATTACTAATTTGGCTTGATTAAGAAAACTGCTTTGAAAATGTCAGAAAATACATAATTCATCTGTTTGCAGCTTTTTCCTGAAGCCTGCCCTCCTCCTCCTCCTCCTCCTCCTCCTCCCTCTGCTGCATGAGGTTTGGCATGAGTCACGGTCGGCCTCTTCTCACCCGATTTGTGTCCACCAGCCGGGCTGCCACGCCCAATTTCACTTCAGCCCGCCAGCGTATTGTCGAATGACATCTCCGCGCGCTGCTAGGCTGAGGTCAGCCGTGGCCTGAGCCCGACCCTGGATGTGAACATGAGTCAGTGTGTGTAGAGGCTGGACTCTGACAGGCCTCCCTGCAGCAGATTTTCATCTGTTAGACTGAACAGCTGCTGCAGTCTGCCTCCAGAGCAGCTATTAGTCCTGACTGCTGAAACTCACATTATGACATCAGTCCTTAACATCGTTACTCTGATAATAATCCTTCCTGCTGCCGAGAAGAAAAAAGCCTCTGAGCTGCTCGTTACAAAGAAAAACAAAACAAGCTGTACCTCAGACATATCTGTAATTATTTCTGTGCAAGGTGCTGAAAGTCTTTTTTTTATGTCTTACCCTTCACTCAAAGCCGGAGAACTTGCTCCTCGCCAGCAAGTTGAAGGGAGCAGCGGTGAAACTGGCAGATTTCGGCCTGGCTATTGAAGTTCAGGGGGATCAGCAGGCATGGTTTGGTGAGTATGAACAACTTCTCAATTAGATGGGGTTTATGTTTTTAGTGGTTACTTTTGATTTGGAAATGCAGTCGGCATGATACAACTGTTAGTAGTGTTGACCACACACGAGACCAAGACGTACCCGAGACCAGAGTGCTCCAAGACCGAGACAAGACCAAGACATTTAGGGATCCAGACCGAGACAAGACCAAGACATTTAGGGATCCAGACCGAGACAAAACTGAGATCAAGACATACCCGAGACCAGAGTACTCCGAGACCAAGGCAGGGCGAGATAGAGTCAAGACCGAGACCATAAATATCCGTGAAAAATCATCATGTTGTGTGCATCAGGCGTCTCACTCACTTTGACCGTAACAGCGGGAAGGTTGCGGCCGTAACCAGGGGAAAAAATTAAATTTGAGTGTATTCATAATTAACTTTGAAAAAATATATAAATGATCTGTGGCACACTGAAAACTACTTTACTTGTGAGTGAACAATGCAAATACAATTCACTTTATTCTGAAGTTGCTTCCCTTCCGTTCTTAAAATTGGACAAATTTGACGTTCTCTATCTATGGAGCTTAAAATGATAATTTCCCTTTTCTTTAGGTTTGATCTTGAGTTTCCTGACACACAGATCTCATTTCAAACCACTCTAAATGTGTCCCTTTCTCTCAGGTGTAACATTGTAAACACTTAGCATTGGCTGCTTTTTTAGGACAGGTCGTCCTGCGCTGATCGGTCATTTATCTCCTGGTTTTTATTCGTCTTTAAACATTTAAAATCAAACCGTCTAACGTGTCATTTTATCATCACAGCCTGCCCCAGCTGTCTGAAGGGACGAGCTGTGCCACTGCTCTGGGCTCCGGTCTGGATCGAATATATTTCAGACCTATTTCTTCTCTTTATTCCCCGAGGAGCAGAGGAATAATTGGTCTGTTCCCTCAGCTCCAGCCTCCATCTGGAACCAGTTCGCTCCGTGCTCTCACTTTACTACCGCTCGTACTACGTCTCATCGCCCACAGCCGCCCGCTCACTCTTTAAAGCTTTTTTAAAAAGTAGGCTGCATGCTGCCGCTCACGAGCCGAACTCCACACACACAAAAGGATGTTTGTTTTTTTTTCTTTCTCAGAGCTTGTTAACCTCGGCTCTTAAACTTTATGGGACCACTGATCCTGTGAAATGTTTGGTACGGAGGAGGTCTTAATGAGCTTTTGATAGACTTCCACACACAGGAAGAAGTGAAGTTAGTTTCACTAGTGTGCGGCACGGCTAAAGCTTTTTGATGACTCATAAAGTTGTATGTACTACGTGCATACAACTGTCCATTAAATGATATTTCAAACATGTCACTCAACAAAATAAACAATAATCCACGGGGTCTGGATTGTCAGAGTTCTGATCTCCATTTGTAGTTCAGATTGTAGTCCCAGATGTATTGACCAATCACGTATCAGCAGGCTTTTGTGTGTGCAGGAAAACCAGTCCATGTGGACAGAATCAAACCAGGCAGACCGTGACACCAATGTGTTTTTATTTTGTCAAAATCAAAAAAGATCCCGACCCGTATCATTGACTTTGCACCTTGCGTGTTGCACAGTGCACAAACGCTGCACAGAACAGACTTCACTGGAGTTAGGGAGAAATTAGCATCCTTCACTCGAGGACTGGCTATGATCGCTGATTGGCTCAGAGATTGTGAACTCAGCAATCAGTGGTGTCTTTTCTTTGAGCTACAACAAGTTCAGCTCTAGCTGTAATGATTTTTTTTATTCATTCCAAATCAAGTTTAAAATTCATTTTGAAGTTTCTCGAAATGTAATTTATTTTCTGAGCTCATTGAAAGCAGGATTATGCAGACCTCAGTGTCAGAAATATTCCCTCTGTATGCTGTGTTGATGTGTGTGTTTGTGTGCTTCAGGTTTCGCCGGCACACCAGGATACCTGTCCCCAGAGGTGCTGAGGAAAGATCCCTACGGCAAGCCGGTGGACATGTGGGCCTGTGGTGAGTCTCTGAGCTAACACACAGAGGAGCTGCTTATCAGATGTTACAGATCGCTGTCACAAACAAGGTTTGAAATGGCTGATCTCAGGCCTTACCTGGTTCTCACGCTGTGAGGTGCATATGTAAAGATCAGGGTCGGTCACAAAACCCTCCAACCTCTTAAATTAATCATTTCTGACGCTTACTACACACCTCTGTGATGGGCCAGGCCACCTGGGCACGAGACGTCTAACACACACACACACACACACACACACACACACACACACACACACCTGTGCTGTCTCACTGCAGCCACATGAACAACAGTGAGTGTTGTGTTTGTGGTCGGACTGTCTCCTCACCACATAGAGCACCTTTCATCTTTTTCTGGCAGCTGATCAAAAGCACACACACTGTCTCCTGTAACACAAGAGCTGTGTGTGTGTGTGTGTGTGTGTGTGTGTGTGTGTGTGTGTGTGTGTGTGTGTGTGTGTGTGTGTGTGTGTGTGTGTGTGTGTGTGTGTTGACACACTGCTCTTTATTTATATATGGGTGTAAATGTGTGTTCATGTTTACCTGCATTAAAGACTGTTTGTACAAAGTTTTAGACTCATAATTCAGTCTTTAACTTTTGTGTGTTCAGCTTTGAAAAGGATTTGTGGGTCATGATGTGAGCTGTCTGTCAGGATTAACCATTGTGTGTGTGTGTGTGCGTGTGTACAGGTGTGATCCTCTACATCCTCCTGGTGGGATATCCTCCGTTCTGGGACGAGGACCAGCACAGACTGTACCAGCAGATTAAAGCTGGAGCTTATGATGTGAGTTTTTTATTTACATTTAAACTTTATTGCCATGAACACTTTTCAACATTATCGACAATTATCTACACTCTCTCTCTCTCTGACTTGCTGATCACCTTCTCTCTCTGTGCAGCCTGACTATGACCTCACACTTGGTACATTATCTGTTTTTCTGAGGTGTTTCTGAATATCTGTTGGTTTAGTAATCTGCCACAGTTTGCACAGACCTCGGGTGATGTGATGTGATCAAATATAGCGTTCTCATTCAGCGTGCAGAGTTAGACTTCTCTTCACACTCTGAGGATACTCTACATGCAGCTTCATCAAGCTCACAGGCTGTGACTCTGCAAACTGGGGGGGGGATGTTTGAGGTTCACATCATGAAGTCCAGTAAGTTAATCTCTCTGTTATGAAGGGTGATGCTCCAGCTTTTTACACTCCAGGATATGACTGGAAACTTAGTCATGAAGTGCTCGAGGAAACATTAGTCACTGAGAATGTCATTCTCCTAGATTTATTAAATCACAAAAGACGTCTTTATTTACACATTGAAGGTTCCTGTTTTATCTTTGACCATTAGAAACACTATGGGGCCGTATCTTTAATAAGTCAACAGGGTGTATGTGTCGTAATTCAATGAATGCCTAATTTACACTCTACATTTCACGCCATCAAACCAACAGTTCCGTCTCCTGAGTGGGACACTGTGACCCAGAGGCCAAAGACCTGATCAACAAGATGCTGACCATCAACCCCGCCAAGAGAGTGACTGCGACGGACGCTCTCAAACCCCTGGATCTGCGTACGCTTCACACACGTTCACACGTTCACACATGTAGTCTATAGTCTGGTCTTCTTCTTCTCACATGAACTCTCTCCCTCTGTGTGTGCAGCAACGCTCACTTGTGGCGTCCATGATGCCAGGCAGGAGACTGTGGAGTGCCTGAAGAATTCAACGCTCGGAGGAAACTAAAGGTGAGAGAGCGAGAGAGAGAGAGAGAGCGAGCAGGAGGTCCACACGAGCTCAGAGAATGCGGCCGAAGCAGAAGAAATCTAATCATTAACCTCTCGGCTGTGTAAATACTCCAGTTTGTTCCCTCAGTGTTCACTTTTCTCTCCGCAGGGTGCTATCCTGACCACAATGCTCGCCACTCGCAACTTCTCAGGTAATAACGAGCGGTTAACAAGCCAACTCTCACATTTCCTTCCCACGCAGAGAGACAAACCTTCCTCATCTGTCGTAGATTTGAGCTTTTTGTTTTAAATGCAGCTCTTTTGACTGCAGCTGTTTTTCAAACGTCTGCCCTTTAAAGTCAGCGACAGGATCGATGCAGGACCGTCTTCAGGTCCTCTGAAAGGGCAGAGCACACAGGCCGACTCTGACTCCATTGATTGTTTCTCTCTTTGATGAATGACACTCAGGCGTACATTTGTTTATTTCCACTTTAATGTCCCCAAAAGTATCTTTAAATATTTCCCCCCTTGGTGTGAACGTGGCCTCAGTGTTTATTTTCTCTTTCTCCTCCCTCTGGTGTGATAACTCGTGGAAGGTAAGTTTTCCTCGGCTCTGTCGTCTCGTCGTCACTTCAGTGTCAGACTGAACTCTTGTTTCATACTGAGGCATGTCATGAAGACTGAAGCATCGTTTTAAAGGCTTTCAGCTGGAATACTTTGTTCTGAGCCGGTCATATTGGAGGAAAAAAAAACACTTTACATTTTAAAATCCCATAGAGTTTTTGTAACGTTTTTGAAAATGCACTTAATCAGACAGTTGAGGAACTATAAAAGAACCCTTCTTCCTTTTGAAAGTGACGACTTTGAAACAATTATTTTAAAGTGGAAAAGGACAATTTTGTTGCTTTAGGCCCCGTGTCCACCTAGCATTTTCCCCAGACAACTTAGGAGCTCTTGCATGAAGCGTTTGTGCTCTGAGAAGAAAAGATTTTCAACTTGAGTGCTCGGAGCGGCCACACAAAAAAAAGCATAGCACTCAGAAAGAAAAGACGCTGGGCGCTTTCTGCTGCGATCGCTCTCTCCTCGTTTCAGAGTTCGGCAGGTGCACACTCGGCCTCAGAAACGTTTCCTCCAATGTGACCACTGAAAGATATGTGATGTCACTGCAAACTTCTCTCGTTCACTAAACCTGCTCGTGTTTATGGTTGAATTAATCTTTCATCATCTGAAGAGATCTCCACATTGCATAAAATCACTCAGAGGTTTTTAACCCTCCGCCTGCCAAATGAACAATCACCTGTTTGTGTCTCGTTTGCATGAAATGATGATTCCATCTGTCTCCATCTTAAACATCAAGTGTTCTTCTACTAATGATTCAGCTCAGCTCCGTCTCATCTCCTCAATTCATTTACGTTTTCTCCTCTGCCACCGCTTCCTGCAGAGCTCACTTTGAGGATGCTCGTAATTGGCCAGCCTTGAATAGTCACTGCGTGTGTGCGTGTGTGTTAAATCGAGCTGCGCACTGATTTCTGTGCATTGTTATCTTTTTCTCTACAGCAGCCAAGAGTTTGCTCAACAAGAAAGCAGATGGTGTCAAAGTAAGTTCAACTTCCCTCTTTGATCTGTTTCCTCATTTCTCTTTTTTTTTTGCAGAAAGCTTAAATACTTTTACTTTTGTTTTTACATTTCTTCAAACTGCAACCTCAGCTCGCGTTGTTCTTGGAATACTTTGGTTTAAAAATAGTAGCGTCCATAAGTCGGGTTTGATTTCCCGAGTGGGTGTGACAGATATTTGCTGATAATTATCCTCCTCTGCATCGTCAATCACTGAGAGGGAAGAAGGAGTATCTGTTGGAAAGTAATAACCGCTGATTAAATTATGATCTGACTGAGGGGAGATTACACTCAGCTCTCTGTCATTCTTAATTTGAATGTCTTAAAATAAAAACCCTCTTTCCAGCCTGCACACTCAAGTCTATCTTTCACTTGTTTTGGATTTAAAGGCCCCTCTAACACTCTCATTCCTAAAGCTGTTTTCATTCTTTAAAGGAACACTAAACTGAAATCACACACATGTTGTTTTTTCACTTGACCCTGAGAGTGATTGAGCTTGGTGTGAACTTTCTCTCCCTTTGTGTTGTGGCTTCTCGGTGCAGAAGAGGAAGACGGATGGTACAGAGCTGTTGAGGGTAGGCCTGAGCCTGAAGGTGTTTGTTAGGTAGACTGACCTGCAGAGGGTAGTTAGCATTAGAACCCCCCCCCCCCCCCCCCCCTTTGTTTTTAAATCCCACTGCAGTGCGTTTTAAGGCTGGGGAGGCATGACATGACTGAACAGTCTAAGTTGATATAAAGAGTTATTATATTGATATAAGAGTTGTTATTTTCTTGCTGTAATCAGTTACATTTAGGATTCTTAAATCTTACGCCTGACTTATTCTCATGCTTTGAATCGACTCTGTAGCATACGTCTGCATCTACGCACGTAATCTGATGTGTGCCTCCTCAAAAATGTAACTACGGGCGCGGTCACATTGGCCACCCGTACCGTGCCGTACTCAAGCACAATTGCACTGTATGGAGCTAACAGGATACACTCTGGGGTAAAGTGTATGGGAGAAACCAACTTAACCTCTGAGGAGACTAATGATGGCACTGAAAGGGGGAAAATCTAGCCCCAGAAAACTGTCGGTTAAAGACTCCAAATCTTTTCATGAATCTGGCTCTTATTGTTCAGGACAGCAGCTCCCCTGAGTGGAGGCCAGTACTCAAATCTTTAGGGTGTGCAAATCAGGCTGTGGAGTAGGGACCAAGCTCTGCATGATTATAAACTATACACATCTCTTTCACAAGAAAGTCTGAATTAAACGTAAAAATATAAAGATATGCTGGTCAGGATTAAACAGACTTCCATAGAGTGGCGTCACTGAGGTGCATGCATCAGGAAGCACTTCATCATCAGGTCAAAGAACTTTCTTCAGACTTTCAAGTAATGAATCATTCTTTCACTGAGTAATTGGGCCATTTGTTTCACTCCAGACTGACTGTCACTCTTCATCTGCCTTTACCAGAAGCAGGCCTCTAAAGAATGTTCTCCAGCTCGTCTAAAAAAAATAATAATCATTTGGGTTTCTTTAGGCCCTGTGTCCACCTGGTGTTTATTCCGGGCAGTAAAGCGCTGGCTGTGCGCTCGGGAATGTTTGCATGAAGTGTTTGTGCACTGAGACAAAAAGCGCTGCAGGTCCGTCCTGTCTCCATCGCAACAGTGTTGACGGCCGCTGTATGACCGACTCTGCTCCGTTACTTTTTGCTGCATGTTTGATATTTGAGATTGTTTATTTCCCGATTAGACCAAGGCGAGGAGGATGTGGGTACAAGACAAAATCTGTAGGTGGCAAAACGACGGGGAATATCATACATTTGGAAAACAGCGCCGGTGACGTCAACAGCCCCTTTCTGAAAAGTTGGAAGATTTTCAACTTGAGCACTCAGAGCAGCTGCACAACAAAGGCGAAGCGCTTGAAAGAAATTACGCTGCGCTTTTTCTCCAGGCGGCAGCTTTCTGCTGCGAACACTCTACTCATTGAAAACAATTGGAAAAAAAGATGCTGGCGTTTAGAAAAAACGCGAAGTGGACACGTGGGCCTTAGTTGTTTTTGTTTTTCAGGTGGTTTTAAATACAGCTGGTTTCTGTGCGGGATTGGTCACTGATATTTGTCGTGCATGGTGGTGACGGAAAAACTCACTGACACTCGCTGTTTGGCTGCTGCTCTCGAGCACACTCTTGTTCCACTTCTTTTTTTTTTTCTCCTCCTCCACAGCAGCTGCTCGAAGGGCCAACTGTCTGAACACTAAGCCTGTCACTTCTGTCACTGTCCCGTCTGTCTACCTGTCTGTCTGTCTATCTGTCCACTCTGTCCCTCCAGATCAACAACAAGGCCAATGTGGTCACCAGCCCCAAAGAGCCTGTCCCCACTCCTTCTCTGGTACACTGTCTGCCTGCCTCGCTTGCCTGCATGTTTGCACGACTGTCTGTCCGTCTTACTCTCTGTGCAGACTTTCAGCAGCATCTGTTCTTATAAAACACTTTTTTCTATGAAGCTTAAAACATCCTTGCGGTTGTGTAACGTGAGCGGTCTTTCAGCTTGCTTTATTGCATTGCCGCGTTGCTCTACATGGGCTACATTCTCCTTTGTTGTTGATGGTCGCTGTAATGGCGACTGGAGCCATTGCATAACAACTATGGCTAATAAAATGTGCGCACAAGTTTCAAGCTTTTGTTGTCAAAACTGGGACAGGACAGGTTTTGCTTTAGAACATCTTTCCCTGCAAATGTTTGCTACCACTGTATGCTCTCATTTTCTATTTTTTTAAAACATAAACAGAGAGGCTTTTTTTTTATAAGTTTCTATACCGTAGCTTCTTGGTTTTAAAAGTTATGCCAATGAAGGATGCCTTAGACCCTGCATTCTCCTAATGGCCAGTAGGGGGGGACACCACTGATTGCAAAATAAATTAATTTGTCAGGAAGTAGATATGATAATTACTGCATTTCTCAGTTTATTCCTTCAGTAAACACCTTCACCACATGTTACCACTGAATTGCATTGAAGGAGCTGGTGCAACAATGAACACGTACCAGGAAATAGCCACAGTCTATTTTTTTACCTGAGAAAGAAGCAGGGTCCAAACCCTCCCTTACATAGTAAGACAGATCACTGACACCAAGAGCAAGAGCACAGCGCCTCGTGTAATTAAAGAGCTTATTGACTAACAAGCGAACTGAGGCGCTTTTATTGTGAAATGCTGCGTAACCACAAGAAAAAACTTGAAAGTCCTGAACATGTGAGTTGGATGTACATCTTGAGCTTGAATTATTTTTCCTCCTCTTGTTTCGCTGGTTTTGATGTTTTCTTAATTTCCCATGAGTAATACTCGTCTCTGTTGGCGTCTCTGTAAAGTTGAGTGTCATTGGTCTAATGCCTGACTTTCATATGTTCATAAAAACCTTTTCTTAAAGTTGTAGCCTTAGATGTTTTTGTTGCCTCACCAGGTCAGATAGAAGATCATCCTCCATGGTTTCTGTGTCTGTTGTTGTCTTTTTGTCCGTGTTGGGTAAAACTTGGATCACATGTGTTATGAAACTTGATAAACTTGATGTTCAGGATATTGTCACTACTTCACGTGTCATAAAATCCTATCTGTCTGTAACAGTGCTTCATTATGCTGCAGTGACTCTGTTTTTAGCACCTAATACTTTCCCCCAAGTGGCTATAATGTGACCCCCCCATTCCCTCCCTCACTTTTATTTCTCTCTCCTGTCTTGTTAAATACTTTTCTGTCAAACTTTCTCACACTAACTCACTCTTGTTGTGCACCAACCTCTCCTCCCGCTGTTGGTCCTCTCTAATCAAGGAGCCTCAAACCACTGTAATCCACAACCCAGCTGATGGAAACAAGGTATACAGCTGGTCCGGTGTTGGTCTGGAGCTGTAGTCTGCTGCTGATGTGTGCGCCATTTAGAGTAGAGACTTAAAGGGGAATTCTGCTGTTTTCAAACCAGGGCCCTGTTCTTTTTTTGATTTCAGTGTCCAAATTACTTATAATGACAAAAAGTTATGGAAAAGCCCAAGCAGCTGACTTCATCATGAGTCTCTGGACAGGCTGCAGTGGCTGCAACGTGATCCTAAGGGTTACGCACCCAATGCAAAGTGCATTAGTTAACAGTGCTTGTTTTCACCACTTATTGACAGGCTTAGATCGTTATTAAAACTGTCGGGGAAACGCTCAGATACGGTCCTTTAAAAAAAAAAAAAAAAAAGTAACAGCTAGAAGCAACATTACTGACTTTAAAGGAGCAATATGTAACTCTGACACCCAGTGTTTAGAATTGGTACTGCAGTCCAAATTCAAAACATTGAAGAGAGAGGTATCGAAGGGACACTCCCTCGAGTCGATGGTTGCCACTGAAGCTTCAGTGTTTAGCCAGCTCTGCATCGGTCTTGAAATCTTTCTGCATTCTAAAAAATGTCAATCAACTCTTAGCTTCAGAGAGAGGCTTCACCTCTCTCCTCAAGGCCAACAGACTAGATAAAAACTGTGACTTTACATGGCAGAACACTGGAGTTACCCCTGAAACAATTCATTAGATATTTTTCTTATTGTGTGAATTTATTATTAGATTGAATCTTAAAATTGATGCAACACTATCTAATAAAAGCAGAGGTAGACTAGCAACTCCCATGTTCTGCTTACTTTTTGTCAAAGAGGTCTGGTGGCTTTGGAGACTAGAGGTCTCTGGTCTCTGTAGGGATCCTTTCTGTCATGTTGTCAGACACTGAGAATAACAATCTGAGGCTGTCAGGTGTAATTACAAGCACTTTTATATCCCGCGGTTTGAAGGGTCACATGTTCCCCGAAACAGAAGTGCAGCCATTGCATCCCGTTTCCCAGCTTCCAACTGAAGCAATCCAAATTAGACCCCAAAATATGAATTAAACATGGCCCAGGTTAAAAAATACCAAATGATCCTTTAAAGTTGCTTCTGATGGTGCTGATGGTGCTGATGGAGTCCCCTATAAGCTCTATGTGACGTGACAAAACAAGGGACTGCTGGTATCATAAAACAGTGCATGTTGTTATCTGGTGTTGCATGTGGTTCTTTGACGTGATGTCATTTTGCATATTACATAGGTTGCCTCATTCGGTATGCCAGTGTTTAAACCCTGGAAGAGCATGTGACAATGCCATTGTCATTGTGACATCAGAGTCAGTTTTATAGTTGTGTGACTAAGGGGATTATGCATGCTGCTGGAATCAGATCATGCAACCCCAGAGCCAAATCCTTTAGAGAGTAACCCAGACTATATCCTCTGTGTTTAGGTGTGCAGATGTTTGGAGCTACAGAATCATGTGTAATCCATCAGATAAAAATATTTTCACGTGTGCATGCTTGTAACTTTAGTTTTGTGCAGTGATACGATGTTGATGTAATATAAAATGTGTGTCATGTAGAATTAACAGTGCTCAAATGTTTCTTAACTTATTCCAATGTTTGTTGGTGAAGTGGTGAAGGATCCATATAACGGGATTAAGGTTGTCAACATTTTTGGCGCTTTTTTTATACCACGTTTAAAAACAAAAAAAACAAAAAAAAAACATTACAATCCATTTTTTTAAAGGTCACATATTCTCCTCCTCTTCAACCAGTTTAAATAAGTCTCAGAGCTCCTCTAAACGTGTGTGTGAAGTTTCTAAATCCACTCTGATCCTGTATTTGATCATGCCTATAAACTCCTCTATTTCAGCCCTGCTCAGAACAGGCTGTTTCTGTGTCTGTACCTTTAAATATGTAAATGAGCTGTGTCTGACCACGCCCTTCTCTGGAAGGGCTTGGGTGTCTCAGGCTTTCTCGCTTCATGTCCTATTGTTTACGGTGAAAAGGCAGACTTACATTTAATGAAAAGTGGAGCAGACAGAAGACGGAGAGGATGGACTTTTCTCATCATTGGGGGGTTTGTGGCCAGACTAGAGACAAATATTAGTGTTAGAGAAACATGGTGAAGTGTATTTTACAGAATATGTGACCTTTTAATGATCGATAATATTGAACAGAATCTGTTTTATAAGGCAAGTGTGTGTGTCAGTTACTCTGACACACTGTTTAAATTGCACAAATACATTGGCAATGTTTTGGGACAAAAATGTTGCCAATGTTTGTGTAATTAAGAGCGTGTGTAGGAGTTTGCCTGAAAGTTTTCTTGATTAAAAACAAATGACCTCATATTGGATGCCTAGGCCTTGTTTTTTTGTTGACGTGGTATCAATATTGTTGGAATTTTACTACTTTCATTCTGGTATTGGGACGACCCTTAAAGGGATTTATACAGTAGGTACCATTGTTAAAACAGGATGTTACTAAAATCATTGGAGTTATTTGGGGAAAAGGGAAGTGGGGGCTTTTTGAGAAACATGAAAATTAGATGGTGGTAAACTGCCCTGTCGTGAAAAAGCACCACCTCTGTAATCTAACATTTTGCTTTTTTGTTGACGGCTCGTTAATTTGTGACTTATTCTCTGCCGCAGGAGTCCAGTGAGAGTGCCAACACCACAATCGAAGACGAGGACGTGAGAGGTAGGACGGTCCAGACTAACATAAACTACAATCCTGTTAGCACAACAACACAAACTGCCTTTATAAATAAAGTCTTCCCTCTAAACCTTTAATCAAGATTTTACATCATACTTCACCTCTCTTTTTCACCTTTGGGTGCTATAGACCATTTTCACATGGCAGCCGTTTTTCTGTGATGTCACACTCGGGGTGGGAAGCTCAAATGCTCTTAATATGCGGTGTTCCCAGTTGCAAGTCATGCACACATAAAAAATCTGACAAATCGATTTCATTGCACTGCTCCCGTTCGATACTGCAAGTCAGAGGAGACTCTTTGCCACTTTTAATGTTTAAAAAAAACCATCATTGATAACCCTTTAGCAAACTGGTTAAGAGAAGTGGTTCAGATAGAAGTGATTGTACCGACCTAAAAAGCCTCTGCATGTTTCTAATAAGCTCCACGAGCAGAAACGTGCTCAAACTAGGATCAATATTGGAGATGCTTTTGAAAAATGGAGAGAGGTTAGAACACAGAAAGGTTTACAGACCGATGCAGAGCTGGATAAACACTGAAGCTTCAGTGACCACCACATGGTGACCTGCGTGAGCATCGACTCTAGAGAGGAGGGGCGGGGGAGACAGCTCTCTACAATGTTTAAAATTCAGACTGCAGTACCCATTTTAACCACTAGGTGTCAGAGTTACATACTGCTCCTTTAAAGCTCAACTGTTATTTTTGCATAACTCTATCATCAATGTGGACTTTAGTGAAACAACAACATAAAGATTAAGGTTTAACACTTTTTGGGATCCTGGTAAATTAATCAGCATCTTTCTAAATAATTTCGAGGCAAATTTCTCTTGACTTCTCGTCCATTGACCCATTTTCACACAGATTTAATTCGAGGCTTCCCACCATGAGCATGACGTCACCAGAAAATGTTTTGTTGTCGTGTGAATACACTCAGTGGCTCACAATGTTTAAAGGTTTTGGGCTAACCATACATTTTACATTTCCCATGAGCAGATCTCAATGTTACTGATTGTGTCTCCTGCATGAATGTGTTGCATCTTCTTCTATTTTCTTGCCATTTGCTTTTATTTCTCATTGTCCGTGTTTATTCGTCACGTCTGTCCCAGTACTATGTGCTTAAACTTTAACCACCATGAGGAAAAGTAGAGTCAGAGTGTTGACTGTTCTGGGTTTCTTGAAAGTCCCACCAAAGCGTGTTGAGTAGCAGAAAGATGATACCTGATACCCTGCATTTCAAAAGGTCTAACAAAGAGAGGTAAAAGAATAGGGAAGACCTTTGTGCTCGAGTTCAGTGAAGAGAAGAATGTAGACATTTGCTCCCAGCGTCCAAAGAGTGGAATTGATTTGTTGTTGTGTTTTCTGGTTGTTGACTACAGCGCTGACCTTTGTTAGAACAGAGACGCTGTCAGAAGAGTCAGAAGAAATACTTCCCACATTCACAACAACGTGTAAACAAATTTATCACCGGTGTTACGAGCATTTTTAGATTCTCTACAGCTCTTCACATCTTTATCTATCTAGCATTTGAGCTCGTATACATCCAGCTCAGTAAGATGCCCGTTATAGTCTGCATTGTTTTTTATGGCGTCGTCATTCCTCCATGCTCGAGTTACCTGAAAAAAAGTTTGGGTATCTTCACACTGCACTGATTATGATCGCATGTCTTAATGTTTCTTTCTGAGAAGACATTTTTCTTCTTATCATTTACGTCTGCCATTATTCTTTAATACCTCTTCTGTCTGGCTGCTGTAGCTCAAATAACAGAATGAAAAGCTGTAGGAAATCTGAAGAGGAAGGACATCTTTTGTGATATCTGCAGTGTGTATAGACTGTGGCAGAAGTAGAAAAATACGTGTAGGCAACTACGTGTAGTTATTCCTCCTTTTTTTATTACTGCTGTTTTCAAAGATGGATGTTAAACTTTAAAAGTCTACAACTATCTCTGCATTAAAGTTGAAGTCTGTATTTTGGACATGGTCCATGTTTGGGGATCCATTTGAAACCCAGGTGTATGATCTCTCCATCTGAGCTGTGGGGACAATGGGCCTGACTTTGGCAACATTTCTCAGAAGATAAAAACAAGAGCGAACTAGACAATGAATATGATGGTCAAGGTACAGAGACTGACCAAAAGAAATGCCTTGATTACACACAATAGGCTTTACAAACACAGATAGGGAACCAAGTTTTTCCAGTAACACCGGACACAAAGGCCTATATTTTTAAAAACCGGTTGCTCTAGTCGCTTTCTACATGGTGAAATACTCCAAAATCATAACTCTCCTTCTCAGTTTCATCCCTAAACATTTTCTCATGCTCGTTGTAAACTGATCTGTTCTCAGCTGGTGGATCAAACTGTCATTGCCTTCATGCTTTTCATTCATTCTTCATTTCATGTTTTCCTTTTTCCCACTTTTCGTAACGCCCTCATTCCTGCTTTGCCCACTCTGTCAATCTCCATTTCCATCCATCAATCCCTCAATCCTTCCCTCATCTATCCTTCCCTCATCTATCCTTCCCTCATCTATCCTTCCATCCTTCCATCCATCCGTTTGTTCTCAGCACAAGTTACTCCTCTAGACCCCAAATCTTCCACCTTAAGCACTTAGACCACTCCACCTCTTACCGGCAAACCTCCCGCTCTTCCTCCTCCTCCTCCTCTTCTTCTTCGTCCTCTGCCTTCCTCTCCTCCCCCTTCCCCTCCCCCTTCTCCTCCTGCTGGTACTCTCCCATCGTTTGGCCCACTGGTGAGGAGTGCTGTCACTACATCCTGTGGTCACTGGTGTCCGCCTACCTGCTCCTCTTCTTCACATCTTCCTTTCTGGTCTTTTTCATTGACCACCCCACCTCATGCCACTGCGGCCCCCATCACATTCCCACGCAGGGGTCCGACCCCGAGCATGGGGAGCCTTTGCCCTGCCTGGGCCCCACCGACTCCCAGTGTAAGTCCATGTCCCAGTTCTCAAGAAGACCCTGCAAATCCCCCCTTCTTTTAATATCACTGAGAATATTCAGGATCATAAGATTTTTAATTCTTTATGAAATAAAAACACCTGAAAATAAACCAGATGATGTGTGGTTTGGGATAATCTGGGGAGTATTTGTTTACTTGTTTTTTATTTTATATCTCCAGGAACACTTGCTTCTCCAGGAATTTGCTTCTCATGCAGAAAATCTAATTGTTGTAAAAGATGCTGTTGTAGTTTGTATCTTTGTTTTTCTTTCTGTCTCCTCTGAGTTTACAGAGAGAATCCCATCAGACCTCTGAGAAAGATTTCTAAATCAAACTAAACCACACCTCCTCCTCCTCTGTGGCTGAGTGCACAGCTGCTGTGTAACAGCGCCCCTCACAGACCAGATGCCTGGTCTGTAATGGCCTTTGTTTGCAAAGATTTTCAGATTAGGAAAAGCTGAGGAAATTGATTGAGGAAAATCAGGACTGATTGCTCTGTGAAATTAAGATGCCATTTGCAAACATTTCCTGATTCAACACAAATAGTTGTTGAAAAGCTGCTTGTGTTTTTATAAAGTCTCAAATTTGATTTCCTTCATAGATTTGTATTTCAGGTCCCGTCCTCTGTTTTTTTTTGTTTTGTTTTTTTTACATATTTTGGCTTCAGTGACTCAGGTTTAAAATTCTTTGGATGTACTCTAGTTTATCACCTCCAACAGCCTCACGCTGTTATTCTAACCCATTCCAATTTCCACATAGTCCGTGTACACTGCACTATGGCACCGTTTGCTGCCACTCTAGTCAATGCTCCTGTCTCCACAGCGCACGCCGCAGTCTGTAGCAGCACCACTATGCTCTGCTCCGTTTCACATAATGCACCAAATCAAGATGCACGCTGCAAGCATGCGTCAAACTGGACAGAATAGAACCTGGACAGGAAGTCAGACAAGGAAACACAGCATCCGGGCAATTTCAAAATAAAATACAATATACAGACTCCAGGTTGTATATTCCATCACAACATAACGTCAATCATCCTCAGGAAGACAAAGCAACATGTCCGCTGACGGACACACTGAAACTGTGGTGCTGACAGAACCCAGCACACACGGACTATGTGGAAATGAGCAGAAAGTGTCACTGAACATTAAAGACAGGATCCTTACAGAAAAATACTTTTTGTGAAAGTCAAAGCTATGACAGATAGAGGCAGAGGTAGACCAGCAGCTCCCTTTGTTTTGGGACTACTTGTAGTGGCTGTACTTTGATTCCTTTAATAAATAAGGAATAATCAAACTGGTTTTATTGGACATATTGTTTGCATGTTTTACAGTCAGGTGTTCATGATAATTTAGTTTTATACTGCAGCTCTGTATTTTCAACTGATCGTCAGTTTTTGTGTTTGCGTCCTCGTTTGACTCGTCGTGGCGCTCTGCACTTCCAGTAAAAGCTTCTGAGCTTTGTGTCTTCTGGCACGACACTCTTTCCTCTGCCAAGCATCCGTTGACCTGCTTAGTGTCTTTGTATTTATCACCATCCGCTCTCTGTGTGTGTGTGTGTGTGTGTGTGTGTGTGTGTGTGTGTGTGTTTCTATCCATTATTAGAGTGTGTGCGTGCCAGCTCTCCATCTTTCTCTGCGCGCTCTAATGGGAGATCCTGGAGGAAAAAACGATTCATCACACAGCTGACAGAATCTCTAAGGGCATTACTTCCACCTCAGATACTCAGGAGTCATCTCAGTTTTTCTGCTGGCCGGGGCTGAGCTGCTGCTGCTGCTGCTTCTTATATTAAACACAAAAAACATGTTTTTAAATGGCACAGACTCTAAAACTAACAGATTGTCAAGTGTTGTCAGACTGTACATCTACAGAGAGAAGTGTATCCCCTGCTTTGTGATCATTATGTAAGATCATTCAAGTTTCTGCTCTACCAACATGTCTTAAAGGCAGGGTTGGTAATTTTCTCCAGATCTACTTTTTAAGATGTTGGTTGAAATTGTCTTTTGGTCCTGACAGAAATTAATAACTCATGTTTTCTGAAAAAGAAAGAAAAAGAAAATCTGTCATCTGTAGCAGTTGTGATTCTGTAAAAGCTTTGACCATTGTCTGCCACGAGGTACCAATCTGATGAACCAATCACAGCCTCCCTGCTCGCTCTCTAACTCCATGCATGCACTAGCCCACACTCAAAGTGTGAGCTGAGGTCCGCTTTAAAGTTTGAAACCTTATAAACCTATCTCCTATCTTTTATCATGTAAAAAATGCCCCTCTCCAATGAAAGCACGCTGCAAGCATGCTGCAGTGCTTAGTAACGGCCTCATAGACATCATGAGACAGTTGAATACACATACTGCACATGCAAACAGTTTACAACCAAGGACCTGTAGAAGCTTGTAGAGTCAGATTAGTGCTGGAGCCGATTCTGAAGTTTCCTCTTAAAATGTAGTTTGTGGTGTAACAGTGATGGCTCGGCTCTGATGCCCATTCACTTCCATGTGTTTAACATCTACATATCAACAGTCTTTTTTTAGTATATTGAGAGAAAAAGCCAAGTTGTTGTAGTTCCCTTAAAGTCTGTGACGCGCCGACTTTGGCTCTGCCGGGCTCTGTGTACAAACTGATAGTGTCTCTGTAAATATTAGTCTGAATTGAGTTTGCTATTTGCCAGGTAAAGTCCACAGCTGGGGCAACAGAACACTTCTTTGATCAGGGTTTTTTTTTCGTAATCAGCCAATCAGAGGAGGGCGTATTATCTCGTCTTCCTCTCTTCCTTCTGCTTTATAAGCCGAGCTGAGGCTGAATCTGCTTCTTTGAACTTAAAAAAGTGAACTGAGGAAAATGCTCCAGCTGTTTGCAGTTAGCTTGTTGATGTTGTTGTCACTGGAGAGAATGGAAGCACAGGTACAGCAGCAGACGGTGAGTGTTCAGTTAGCGGGGAACAACAGTGGACCTCCAGCTGTAGAAGGTAAAAACAAACGTTTGCAGTACGTACGTGTGTTTGTCTGTGAGTGAGTGTCACTCCTTCACTTTGACTCCATCATTGTCATCACCTCCGTCCTGTAAATGTCACTCGTGTGTCTACTTACAGTAAGCCACAACAACAGCACTTACTCTCTGCATCCATTGTTTCCTAGCTTACCTACTTAGCATGAAAGGTAATTTTGATGTTGTCGAATGTTGAACCACGCTGACTAACCTTCCTGTCGGTCTTCACGTCATTTATTTCTTTGTGACTCTGTATTTTGTTGGTTTCTGACCTGTCTGTGAACGTCGTGATTTATGGTTGATGTTTGTGCTCATCTTCAACTTGAACTTATTCCAGAGTCATTCTGGTATTTTTAAGCCATGGTCTTGTTTTCAGGGTCTGAATGACTTATGGGTACTAAACATTTGGGAACTGCTCCAAGAGATTGCTTCAGCCTGAAACAATGGGTTACAATGGGTTACAATAGCAGCACTGTAATCCTTGTTTTTGCTTGACAACTTAAATAATGATGATATGAATCACTTTTTATCTGTAACTCACTTTGCATTTGAAGCAAAGCAAAATTCAATCAGACGTTGTGAGAGGAGGTAAAGTTCTCTGTTTTAACAACATCAAAACAGTAGTTTTACTCTGCAGAATACTGGAGTTGATGTTCTACCATAGAGGTATGAGTAAGTCTGATTGCATCAAGTGACTTTTGTTGTGTAATGGGTTAGTGCCGTGTGTCGTTCTAACATCAAGTAATACGAATGAAAAACCGATTTAAGACAGAGGTAGACGACTTCTGTGCACTGCAGGGTTAAAATGCTGTTTTTGACTATTTGCAGAGAGCAAAAAAACACATCTCCCCCTTAAAAAAATGTCTAAAGCGTATTAGATTGGGTCCAATACAGGATGTTAGACATTACAGCAACAAAAACAATATCCAATCAAGGCAGAGGTAAACCAACAACTCCCATGTTCTGCAAACTAAAGTAACTTTTTTATCTAAATGGAGTGTGGTGGCTTCAAAAAGACTGATGAAACAGCTGCTTCTGGTTTATAATATCATGTTCCTCTTTAATAGAGATCCTTGATCCTTGCAGTGATGTTGTCAGACAAAAAGAACAACAATCTGAGCCTATCAGGGAAAAACACAACAACTACAGTAAGAGTGGTTGTACAGTAAACACTTGACATTTTCATGGCTGCTGTCTGAAGAAATCTACCAGAGAAATCCCTAAATGTTAATTCCCATCAGTCATTTAGACCTTTAAATTTGAAGAAAAGAAGGGGCCTAGGTTTAAAAATACTAGTTTCCTTGTTAAGAGTTCTAAAGTTGTTGAACTGGTCCTTCTCTCGTCTCTCTTTGTCTGTGTGTGTCAGCTCGTAAGCAGGAGATCATTAAAGTCACCGAGCAGCTGATCGAGGCCATCAACAACGGAGACTTTGAGGCCTACACGTTAGTGCAATTGCTTTGATTTACTTCACTGAAATATTCCACACACAACTTTGGACCTGACTCGTTTAATGTTTGTTTTCCTCCTTCAGGAAGATATGTGACCCCGGCCTCACGTCCTTTGAGCCCGAGGCGTTGGGCAACCTGGTCGAGGGAACCGACTTCCACCGCTTCTACTTTGACAACGGTAAGGGTTTCTGAATGAAGCTCTAAAAGGAGAACATATTTTAGTTTAGTACAAGATTAACAGGTTTCTCTTGATTGCACAGTTAGTATTGAAACAGGTAATGTTTCTAATTCAACTCTAGTGCATCCATTTTTTTTAAATGTTATTTTTTAGAATATTCTTTATTAGAAAGGACAGCTAAAGAGAGAGACAGGAAATGTTGGGAGGAGAGATGTGGGGATGATATGTAGCAAAGGGCCGAGGTTGGATTTCAAACCCATTGCGATGGGGTGCAAGACATAACCGCCAAGCCAGAGCCCGACTAGAGCAGCAATTTTACAGAAATTCACAGTTTTTTTTATGTTATGTTGGAAAATCTGAACCTTTTAAAGACATATCAAAGCAGGCAAGGATATTTGATTTTAAAATAATGCTCCAAGAATGAAACTCAATCGTTCAACCCAAACAAATCCTGGCAACAACTCAATCCTTTTATTTGCCCAAGCTGCATGCAACCATCCCATCTTCCAGATGAGAACTTGTTTTTCCCTCCTTGCAGCTCTTGCCAAAGGGAAATTGCCAATCCACACCATCCTGCTCAATCCCCACGTGCACCTGATCGGGGACGAGGCCGCCTGCATCGCCTACATCCGCCTCACCCAGTACATCGACAGAGACGGCATGCCTCGCACCATGCAGTCAGAGGAGACCCGCATCTGGCATCGCCGGGACAGCAAGTGGCAGAACATCCACTTCCACCGCTCCGGCTCGCCCACTGTGCCCACCAAGTAAGGTCACTATCTCCTGTCCCCCTGCCGCCACTATATCATTCACCTCCAGGTTTTCTGGAGATCAGAACACACAGAGCATCATTCAACAGTATGGTATGGTATCTTCCTAAGATTGTTTCTTACTGATTTGTTTGTTGTTTGTTTTTCAGTTGAGATGATGAGTTTTGAAGACAAACACCCTCCAGCCTACAGCAGCCAGCTGAACACACCCCGCCCACCAAGTGTCCGACAGACCCTTCAGCCAATCCCTGCCCATGATAGCTAGAGCTCCGCCCACTCAGTGTGTTGTTTACATATTGTCACTGCTGGACTGAAGATTATTGTACATGTTTGAGAGAAAAAAAAAACGTAAACAAGGGAGTAAAGTCTTGACAATATCATTTTATAGTGCGAGTGTTCATTAAGAGAAAATATTGGCAGCATGTTTTTTAGATCAGTAACTTTTAAATAGAAGTGGTTTCCTGAGGAGCCAGTTCATTTTTAATCTAGCTGGTGAAATATGTGAAACTTCAGTCATCATGTAGTGGCAGTTTTCATTTAAATATTGCACATGTTGAAGACTAATGAGCTGTTGTGATGTTTGTTTATTTTTGGACCGGTATATCACATATCTGCTTTTTACTGAAGTATCTTTTCAGAATGGCGATCTATTAAAGCTCAGGCGTAGGCTTGCTTTTGTTCTGGTGATGTATAGATTTTGGTAATCGATTGTAAATCGCTCTCTTAAGTAGTAACCGTATGAACATGAGTTTGCTAATTCTACAAATGTGTTATTTCTGGTGTGACCTATCGGCAACCGAATATGTTTACTAGGAAATTTAAACTACATGTTTAAAAGGGAAACATACTTTATTTGTTTGGACGTCCATTATCTCTTTTGATAGAATGTAAACTTTAGAGATTCGTACAAGTCTTTAAGGCATTTGACCGTATTTACATGGCAGCCATTTTCTCTGGCATCATGCTAAGTGTCGGAAGCTAACTTGCTTGTGTAGTGTTGTACTTCTGTATTCAAAGTATTTAGATGTAAAAAAAAACAATGATAAATAACAATTAATACTTTGGGATTAATGAGAATTAAAACGACAATTGATTGGGATCTGTAGGAAATCGGCCGTATATCCTCAGAAAATAACATGTTTGATACGGTGAGCTACTGTTAGACTGCTGCTAAAATTAGCAATATGCAACTTACTAGCTAGAACAACCATTCAACTGAAAATGAAGGGTTTTTTTAGGTATCATAACAATAAAGGACTGAACTTTGTTTAAAATAAATAAATCTGATAAAACGTTTTAGCTACCATTAGTTAACAGTTACAGAAGGCATCAAGCAACTTTGTCTATCACATTTACCCCTTTTCTATTTTTCATCTCCAAATGATCGAAGTATTACATCGTAACAGAATTTCAGCTTCCCACCCTGAGCTTGATGTTAGAGGGAAAATGGCTACCATGTGAACACGGTTAATCTTGCAATTCCTTCCATTCAAATCATATTTATACAGTAAGGAGTTAATTTTGTGAATTTTATCACTTGTTCTATTTTCATGTTTACTTTTTATATCGTGATACTGATGCTTGTCCCTCGACATATAATTAATGCTTTCCTTGACGCCCATTTTTGGTGAAACATTCCTTTATTCTATGTTCGACTGGCGTGAACCAACATTTAACAGCATTAAGCTTAAAATCACAATGTTTAACAAGGAACAAAGCTTTAGTAGTAGAATGATGTTGAAACTGACAGTAAAGCCAAATTATGCTTTGAAATAATTATACAATTCAGTGCTGGAAAGAAGTTTCACAAATTAACATTTTGGGACAGGTAATTGGGTATTTAACTTTTATAAAATCAGAATGTTACATTATTGTTTTATTTAGGTGTCACTGTTAAATTTAATGGTTTGGGGATTGTTTGCATCACTTAAAAGATCATACTTTAAACACTTCACATTTGGATGTTTTGAAAGTTTGCAAAAAGATTAAACAGATTGGATGTTTAAGTTTATAAGTTAATCAGCCACAAGGTGTATTGAGGAGCTGTTGTTTTTTTGTTTTTTTTACATGCAACCAATTGTCCATGTTGACCAACAGATGGGACGCTGGTATAAGTTGTTACCGTGATGGGACAAGCCTGATGTATGTTTAAGAACTATCAAATAAAATGTGTGATTTATGCCAAATAACTTTTCAGACTTGGGTTTGACTTGTTTCATTGTGTCTTCCTATCCTACTGTTTTAACACTCATTCTTAAAGGTCACATATTCTCCTCTTCATCAACCAGTTTAAATAAGTTTCAGAGCTCCTCAAAACATGTGTGTCATGTCTTGTTTTAAATATTCTCTGATCCTGTATTTGATCATGTCTATAAACCCCTCTATTTCCTGCTCAGAACAGGCTGTTTCTGTGTCTGTACCTTTAAATATGTAAATGAGCTGTGTCTGACCACGGCCCCTCTCTGGAAGGGCTTGGGTGTCTCTGGCTTTCTCATTCCATGTCCTATTGTTTACTGTGAGAAGGCAGACTCAGGGCAGAACAAACACCTAGCTGTGGGAGTGTCACCCACCTGGGGGAGGGGCTACTGCCCTTTGTGATGTCATGAAGGGAACATCTCCAAACGGCCTGTTTGAGCACACATTTTCTGAAAAGTGGAGCCGGCAAAAGACGGAGAGGATGGACTTTTCTCATCATTGGGGGGTTTGTAGATGGACTAGGGACACATATTAGTGTTAGAGAAACATGGTTAAGTTGATTTTGCATAACGTGACCGTTAATGATCGATAATATTGATCAGAATCTAAACTAAAAAAAAACGACATCTGTATCTTCTTAAGGCAAGTGTGTAGGAGAGTTATGAGTCCATCAAAAAGATTGCAGGCAAACTCCGACACACTGTCTAAATTACAGTCACAAATCATAAATACATTGGCAATGGTTTTGGACAAAAATCTCCAAACGGCCTGTTCGAGCACACATTTTAGTACAAACAAAGTATTGTAGCAGACAGAGCGCAGACTGCAAACTCCTGCACAGCAGAGTTCTGTGAGGAAGTGGGTGTGGCCTAGCAGAGAGAAAATTAGGATTGATTGCACCGATTGATGAGTTATTATTTTTATATAATGAGTAATGATGAGTTATTTTTCTCCTCTCACCCACACTCACCGGGAGTGTGGGTGAGAGGAGAAAAATAAGTGACACAGAGAAGAGTTTGGAAAAATGTAAGAAGTAGTGTTCAGGTCACGTTCAATGTTTTTGGCTGCCAAGCATTAACAGAGGAGTGCTCCTAAAACTCAAGAGTGGGCAGATTGTTTTTGTTTGCCTTTGTTTGCTTTGGAGCGATTGATAAACTGGTGCTTCCTCGATGATGGGGCGATGATTGGATCTTACCATAGTTTGGGTAAAGCTCCATGCTTCTTCTGGTGTGGGAGATGATCGTGCAACCCCTCTCTGCACCAAAACCCCTTGACAGGTGATATCACCCCTCCCTCTTTCCTGCCTCACCTCAAGACTGCCACTGCTTCTGGACTCCAATCTCTCCTCCCCTCCCCCAAACAGCAAGTCACACACCTTCACACACACACCAAGACACCCTCTCTTTCTTTAACTAAATATCTTTTCTTTTTTGCATTTTATGTAATATTGGATTGGTTGAAGTGTTGTTTGAACTCGACCTTTGGACATTTGAGAATTAATTGAATGAGATGTTTTCTTTAAATGTATAAATACAACTGAACTTTGATTTAATTTCCTTTCATAGCGTGGTTTTGTATTGAACTTAAGCTTGAACAGGATAAATTCTGCCCTGAGAATTTTGATTGACGGACTTAGATGTCTGTCTGGCACCCAATTTGACAATCGCTTGCGTTCAGTTATGATACAGTAGAGCAGGCAGAGGATTGAGAAGACAGACTTTTCTCAAGTTTTGGGGGTTGGTAGACAGACTAGGGACACATATTAATGTTTTAAAAACAATTGTCGAGTACATTTTTGCATAATATGTGACCTTTAAGATGTGATTTCATAGTAGCGGTCAGCTTGTTAAAGGTATCACTCATGTCCATATTTATAGTCTGTACAACAACACTATTTCTTATTTACTGCTTACATATAAAGGGAGTAGTTACTTATGATGGATATAACCTACCATGGGTCAGCAGTTAGCTCTGTTGCCTCACAATGAGGAGGTTCCTGGTTTGAATCCCCATCTGACATTTTTTTCATAGTGCAAGGATCTGTTGGAACCCTCCCTCTTTTTTTATTGGTTCCGCACCCCAGGAACTAAGAACTCTTTTATGAAACTCTTTTTTTCAAAAATGTCGATGTCGATTCTTTTGACATAGGTGCGCATGCAGTGTACCCGACATAGGTATGTATGTCGTTTTCTTTGACATGTATCTATGTATGTATTCATGTATATATGTTTACATGTGTTCATATGTATGTGTTTTTATGCAGGTTTCTTAAAACCTTTTCTGTTTTATGACCTTGTTTAGCTTTGTTGAGAGTTTGTGGTTAAATTTGTGGAAAAATAACCTCCACGTTTTTTTCTTCAGCTGTCCTTCACTGGTCTCAAACGGGGCGACACCTGCAAGGTAGTTTAGGCAGTCACCTGGAGCTGCACGGATTTCACACTTGACATGTTTCATTCTCAATCACCTGACAACACCTCCTTCCACTTGGTGCTCTATTTAAGCTGCAAGATTCCCCTTCGCTCCCTCTTTGCTCCTCCCAGCTCTGACCTGCACTCAGCTCCACCACCCCAGCATCCACCTGTAGGCACTCCTCAAACTTCTGCATATAAATGAAAACTGTGAGGAAAAAAGTCCATGTTGACACTGATTATCTTCAGAGTCCTTTCAGCTTCTGTGAGGAGAAATAACGACACCACTCCACTTTTAACACATGAACAGTTTTATTGTTCTGCCATGTACACACTGCAGCTGCTATGCCTGGTTAGCGTTTCAGGTTCATGTTTTTATTTTAGTAATCATTTGATAAAGTCGTACATGCCCGCATAGATACTCGCACTGTTAATATGTATATATTGTTATCACAATGGAAACAAGATGCTGATTTATCAAATCAATGACGTTTCTTTTATTCTTCCATCGGATCAAACAAAACGGCAGCGTGAGGATCATCTTGTTACATAAATTCTCAGCTGTAGATGAACACCAAACGTACTTATTCAGTCTGTACAACGATTCAATCAAATCCGGTTTGTCTGCCATGGCAACCAAAATAAAACAAAAGAGAAAAGAAATCATTTGTTTTGAAGCTTTTAAAACACATTCAAACACACACACTCAAACACACGTCTCTCAGCGTCAGCGGCTGGAGTTAAACACGGATCACAAATGGACGGCTATAAATAAATAAGGAAGTGTGCGTGTTATAACTGGAGACATTTTCTGGACTTTCAGTGGATGTGTTGATGGTTTGATAGCAGAGATAACGAGACAGAAAATGTAAAAATCAACAACAGCATTTTAAAGCAGAGCATGTTTATGTAATGAGGTGTCTGATAAGGATACGTCTGGTGTTATGCTTCATTTTATAAAAGTCAACAAACCCCATAAAAAGAACCAAAACCAACAATGCAAAGTCCTCAGATCAATGGGTTGTTAAACTCAGGTTTGCTACTTTATGACAGTTTAGATACTGTTAGACAATCGTTAATGTTAGCATTCAACCACTATATGAGAGTTTGAAAATGGAGATCAGCATTAAAAGGTCAACTTTAAACAATTCCCAGCTAACGGTAATTTCTAATAAAGATAACATACATTAGTGTTAGCTCGGGTTAAATAGAAATGTGAGCTAGCCAGGTGTAGAAAGCTAATGTAAGTTTTTGGAAACATTTAGATGCTGAAGTTAGCATTAACTTAGCGTTCTGTATCTATGTAGAAACAGGCTGACACACTTTTTTAAACAGTCTGCTGTTGAAATCAGATTTATGCTTCATTTGGCTCTTGTGACGTAGCTGCAGAAACTTCCTAAGTTTACATCAAACATTACTATTAGCTACTGTTAGCTAGGAATTTATGCCTTTTTCATCGCAGGTTGTGAGACTAGTGTTAGCTTGAAGTTTTTAAAATACTACGTTTGCTATTGCAATCGGTTTCATGCTTACTAAAGCGCTCGTGACTTCAGCTGGTGGAACCTGCTGTTAAAACACCATTGACGACTGTATGCTCATGTTTCTCTGCTTAATGCTTCTGATTTGTTGATTGATGTAATATCTCTTTCTTGTCTTTCTTTTGTTCTCTGTCTGGAACTTTGACGCTGCTGTCTTGGCCAGCTCTTGAAGGAGCTTTTTATTTTGGAGTCATTTTATGATTTTCTAGCTTTCTGCCATGTTTTTAACATTTTATTTTATTCAGAGCTTAATCACTTAAAACTTTGTCTGATTCGACTTGTATTCATTTATTTCTGACATTTTAATGTTTATAATTACATTTTTAAGTCTCTAAAAAATTGAATTCTTTGTTGCAATTTAAAATGTCTCCCGCTGTTAGCACGATCACTTTCCACTGATTTCTTTAGTCTACTTGATCTATTTTGTATTTCAATTTATATTTTCAGTCGACCTCGTCATTGCTGCTCCTTGTTTTTATCTTCATGCTCTACGTGCCTTTTAATCGCCTCCCGGGGAATAATGAAGTTTTTTGAATTTGAATTGGAAAAGATGCTCTATAATTCAAGGTGAGTCGAGTTAATGTTAGCGAGGATAAGGTTGAATGCCAACATTAGCTTTTCATTTAGCATACTTGCTTAGGTTGGTTACTGTGACTTCAACGAGGGAACCAAAAGAATGTATGTTATTGTATAATAACGGTTAGCCGGGAATTTGTTGAAACACTTCAATATGAGATAGAAAGTTAAATATTCCTAATATCTACTGCGATTGATTAAACGCTAACGTTAGCCTTAATAGTTCTTAAATACGTTTAACTGGAAATAAGAGCGGATGTCCCGCTTGAATTTCACTTCCCGTTGTCTTAGGGTTGCTGATGAATCAAAAACGAGTGAATGAGTTGTATGATTATTTGCATTTCTTTTACCTAAAATGCATTAGTGCAATGAAAAAACAAAATTTGAGCTTCCTACCATGAGCAGGTCATCAGAGCTAAATGGCCGTAGTTGGAATCTGGTGCAGGGAAAAGATATTTATCAGGTTTCTGAGACTTAAAAAGAACAGGTTATAAATTTAGATGGATTGTTGTTTTGGTTCTCCACATGGGATTTGTTGAGTTAATTCATAGTTATCTGTTAAAAGATGGAGGGAGTGTGTGTGAGCTTCAGTTTGAGGTGAGGAGAAGCAGCACAGGTGAGGGTGGAGCTACGAGGACAGCAGTGGGGGGGGGGGGGGGGGGCAGTAAGTGCTCGCTCTGCATCAAAACAGTCATCACTACTTTCTTTCTCTCTCTATAGACACACCGTATATACACGAGCACAGAGACGGCAGCTCTGCGACAGATCAAATGTGAACACACGACACACACCAGAAAGAAGGACATAAATAAAAGTAAGAGGCAGGTGCATGGTGGGAAGACGAGAGGTGTGTAAACAGATCAGCAGGGTGATGTTTGAATGTTTAAGGAGTCCATGAGGATACACACATTCACTCTTCCAGATTCCTTTGTAACATTAATCTCATCTGTTCGGTGGCCATTCTCCAGCTGAATCGGTGCATGTACAGCAGGTCTAGGTGGGCTAATGTATTAAATGCTTTGAACTTTTTTTGGACTTTTTTTCCCCAACACAGTCCAAGCGTGATTTTTTCTTCTTCATCTCGTCTATTTACAAATGTGTACAAGAGTTCTTCAAGAAGAGGCCCGTGCGTGAGGTGAAACGTCCGAGATGCCCTCTTTGACTTTGATCAACCTTTGGTGCGTCGTACCGTAAATACAACCACAAGCAGCCAGAAGGTAAAAAAAAAAAAAACGTCATTCGACAAAAAAAGAAGGGTGCTATCTTTGGTCACAAAAAGAGCAAAAGAAACACGACGTGGAGGAAAAGCATAGAAACACTGTTCTGTTATTGAACGAAAAAAGAGAAATCCAGTGATCAGCGAGGACAACAAGAAGGGGGACATCTGGATCAGAGGCAGCGGACAACACCAAAGGCTTCAGTGGAAGATGTAAGGAGCAGCGGCTCAGTCAAAGAACTCCTCCTCCTCCTCCTCCTCCTCCTCCTCCTCCTCCTGGTCATCCTCACAGTAGCGTTGGAGCAGTTGGTGCAGGTGCTGCTGCAGGGCGTCGGGCTGCAGAGCGTCCGGGGTATCGTCCAGACGCTCCAGGTGCACGTGCTTCCCTTGGGCATCCCTCACCACAGTCCTCTTCTGGGTCCGAGACTTACGCATTTGGCTTCTGAGGGAACAAGAAACAAAAAGTGTTAAACGTTATTCAAGATAACTCGGATACTCATCATTGGCTGAGGTTTCAGGTTGAATGTCTTTTAAAATCTTGAGTAGTCAATATAAAAACTAAGTCATTATATTTAATAGAGTTTTATCATTCCATTAATGTATAAAATACAAAGATGAAGTGTAAAAACACCAGTCATATCTCAGGATTGAAACTGTTTGTTACATGATATATTATGTTCCATATTTACGACGGTAATAAAATAATGACTCCAATGCCAAATGATAAGATGGTTTTGACACTGATATTCAAAGCTCACATATTCTCCTCCTCTTCAATCAGTGTAAATAAGTCTCAGAGCTCCTCAAAACATGTCTGAAGTTGTTCTAAATCCACTCTGATCCTGTATTTGATCATGCCCAGTGGGCAGGTTGTGTAACTTATCAGTAGAATAAATATAGAATAAATTATTTCAAACTCTACAAACACAGAGTTAAAACTATTTTTAGTTGTTTACATTTCATTCTGAAAGCTTACCTACTGTTCTTCAACCTGAGCTTTATTTACAGTGTTTAGTCGATCTTTGCTGTCAGTTTTGTAAATATCATATTTCCACATTCTTCGTCTCTACGTCATGGTTAGGCATCAAACAAAAGCAAAAACATCGTTATAGCGGACTAAATTATACAGTTACACGGCCAATCAGGGGGATGCACACGTTCTTTTCCTCAGAGCAGAATTAAAGCCTCAAAATGAAAATGTGTTAGACTTTGGTGCCCTCCAGTGGTGAATCTTGAATGACACTGTTGAGGACACCATTGTTTCTCAGGTTCGTTAACATTAATGGGCTTAAAGCAAACACATTCACTCCGATTCTTCAGAAGTTTATAAACGTTTTAAATAGCCTTGAAAGAGTTTGTAAAGTTCAGGTTGTGTCTGGCAGTATTGTTGCTCCGCAGATATAAGCAAAAAGGATGTTAAGTGTTGCAAAAACTTCTGTCCTAATCAGTGAAAATACCAGACAAAGGTAAATGTCTAACTTTCCTTTAGCGATATTTAAAGTCTTAATCAAAGTTTTAAAACTATCATCAGGTGTTAGAAGTGCAATCACAGCATGCTTCTATGTTAACTTAGTGAACCAGCAGTTTCCTTGTTTTTTCATTCCTGCACACCCTCATGCTGCTGTCCAACCTTTTGACCACAGAACCGTCGTCCTGCACAATCTCTTTCTCTACTACATAAGGCACGAGCACTTTCCCAAAACCTCCAGCATAGCTCAACGCCTGGGATGGAGAACAGGGGGAGGAGAGAGGGATCAGAAAACCTGCTCAACACTTTTAAAAACTCCTTTTTACAGATGCCCATGATGGAGTAATTTCTCATTTCCTGTCTCTTGGTGGAACACACTGACCTTCTCAAAGTCCTCCCGGGCTGAGGGGAGATCTGAAGCCAGTGAGGGGTCTCCCGTCTGCTTCTCCATCCTCTCCCCTCTCACCACTGTTGTCTTGACAACCTTGCTGACCTTTCGACCTTGCACTGGCTCAGCCTCAAACTCTGATGCGGTGGCTGCGCGGGGCTCCGAGAACGTCAACTGTAGAGAAGATGGTGAGATGTGCCATCATTATGAAAAGTGTACTTAATGTTTATTTAGCACAATAAGGGCAAATTCAAGAGAGCGTTTTTCTTTTCTTGGCAAGATACCTTCAGAACTACTGGCATTCCCTTAAGCCTTAGGCCAGCAACATGCCACTGTTCAATGATGATTAAATAATTTATATTCTCAGTCTCATTCCAGGTCGTCCTTGCAGCTCTAGTTTTTGCATTTACAGAGGTCTACCTATAAGACGAAATTTGCTGCACTCTGAAGTTGTAAAAGAAGCCCTGTTGATTTAAACAAGGTGTTGAGTGCAGTGTATTTCTGACTGAATACACTATAGAGAAAAACCGTCAACAGTAAATACAATATTCTTTCTGAAAACATCAACAACAACAACAACAACAGTCATCTAAGGCCCCGTGTCCACCAGCGTATTTTTTCAGATGTTTTCAAGAAGTAGAGAGCGTTAGCAGCAGAAAGCGGCCGCCTGGATGAAAAGCGAAGCGTTCATTGTCTTTTTTATTTTTACAAGCACTTTGCTGTTTTTGTGTGGCCGCTCCGAGTGCCCTAGTTGAAAGTCTGTCAACTTTTCAGAACAAACAAACGCTTCATGCAGACACTCCCGAGCGGTTAAAAAAACAAACAACTACAACAACTCTAAAAGCAGTTTGTAGATGTAGATGTCACTGACCTCTTTCTGGTCTCCCTCACTACGAAGCACCGTTCTCTTCACCACTCTGGAGACGGTGTCCCCCTCCTCGATCTGCACCGACTCCTGGCGAGAGCCCTCTATGGTCACTTCCTGCGTCTCCATGCCGTCAGCTGACACATACTTATGAATCACCTTCCGCGTGATCTGGATGACAAACACAAAAGGAGCATGTGAACCGGTCTGAACTGATTCAAAGTGTCAGTATTGATATGTTCATGCTGCTGAGGTGTGAGTGTCCCCTCACCTTCTTCACGACCATGTTCCCGTGCTCGTCTGTGTACTTCTCTTCTGTGACGGTCTGTAGTGGGATGTCTGGGAGATTATCCGCCTGTACAAAAAAACACAAAACACAAACTCAAATCAGTTAAAAAGTTAACACAATGATAACACTAATCGGTTGCAGCTGAAAAGAAGTTTGAAGCAACAAATGATAACTTGAAGTCACCTCAGAACGGGCACATACACCAAACCTACGGTCTGCGTTAAAGCCACTATTGGTAGAATTTGAATGAAATCACTGATTTCAAAGATTTATTTTGTAAAACAAAAGAAAAAAGAGAAAAGATTGAATTATTCTTGTGAAATTCAGTGTACTGTGTTGCGGTTGACCATTGTGTTTCTTTATAATACCACCAGGGGGCGACACTAATAAAAAACAAACATTCTACCCATCGTGGCTTTAATTTTCTAATAGAAGTTTTTATTGTTTCTTTAAAAGAAACAAGAAATGCAGCAGGAAAAAGCTGAACAAAATATGTAAATAAACACCATCACAAAAGTTTAGAAAAAGACTTCTGTTACAGCAAATTTAAGAGGAAACTTAATTCTATGAAGGAAGTCAAATCCAAACCAAAACCACAGCTTCCCATTAACCCAGCATCCCTCCACACTGCACCAGGCTGCTACATGCTTGTTTACCTGGATGATAACTCTGCGTCGGACCACCCTGGTGGTCAGCACCTCCTCCTCTGAGCTATCAGAGGACAGAAACCCTAGCTCCTCCGCTATCTCCTGGGAGACAGCACACAACCAGCGTGGGTCAGTACATCAGGTGTGCACAGAATTATAAACCTCAGCACACTCCTGCACACAGCACGCTGTTCCTTCTTTTCCCTTTACCTCACTTTGATGTTTTTAATTTACTAAAAGTTACATGTATGGATGGATGGAATAAAATAACAGGAATAAAAAAAGTATGGTTGTACACAACAGTGAAGTGAGATGAAGAGAAGGCACAGTGATGCAAACATTTTCAAATAAAATAAACATGCAAGGATGGGAACCAGTGCGCGAAATACAGGAAAGTGTTTAACATTACACTAAATTAAAATCTGGATCTGTGTATTCTAGGGGTTAGCCAGTTTGCTTTATTACTCTTCTTCTTGTGTTGTTTTGTGTCTGCTTCTTCTTCTGCGTTTGTCATTTAATAGCTGTTCGCAACCTGGATCGGAGTGTGGATACGTCCTGTGTGACTGCCTTTTTTCACCACTCATACCTGCCTCGAACCATGACGTCTGTACAGTGAGGGTCGGGACAAACACACAGTCTGTTACACGCCTAGTATATACTGAAGTGGAAAAGTGAATGAGAGAAAATCATTGTGCACGGACAGCCAATGAAAACTGCAGTAGCTAAATGACGTACATGTGCCAATTATTCTTCTGGCTTTCAAACATGCATTATCTGAAGGCAAGGGACACGCTCTTGATATTGGAACCATTGTAGTTCAAATTATATTAGTAGTAGAATTACAGGTCACATATTAGGGAGCTTTGGTTGAATGCAAGATTGGTTCCCTTGGCTATGATTGGACAAAAATTAGCTTTCAAACAAAAATCCCTTCTGCCAGCTTTAAGTATGTTTGATTATTGATCTAGTTGGGATTTGGAGAGTTATGCATTTGCAACAGTGTTCAGCTTTTTTGGTGCATGACTGGTTTGCACAACTCTGGATGGGAGACAAAAAATGCCCTGGCATACTCCCTTACAGTTAACCAACATGGCGTCCCCAAAACTTTAAAACAGAAACTGTAAGGGCAAAGTTAGCCAGGCCGTTAGAGTCACAATGTCTACATTACGGAGGTTGAAATGTACCAGAATTTTCCTTTACATAGCAGCTAAAGTAAACCTTCTTAATTTTGTCAAAGGGTATTTCGCACACTGTTTGGAAAACCAACAAGCAGAAATCAATCAAGGAATGCAAACCGGTGCAGATGTGACCAAAAAATTAAAGGGTTATTGGTTCTAAAAGAAGTTTCAATATGTCATCAATGCGGATTTAAGTGAGGAACTGCCAAAATATCAGACCACCAATGTCAAAACCAGACTTTTCACTCGCTGGTTATGTACTATTCAAAACAGCAACTCATTGCAGTTGTTAAATTTCTGTTATTTTCTTGAGTTTAGCCACTCATGCACACAAAAGCATCCATCAGCCATGTTTAGTCAATACAGTGCACATTTGTGTGATTTTTATGTCAGTCCTGAATGCAGCACCACAGCAACCAACCTGGCCAGGCAAGACACCAGCCAGTGCAGTACTGTGCCCATGCTCGACTTCTTACCCTTCCCAGGAAGTCATCATCATCGTAATACCCTGCCTGATCTCTGGAGGGAAGTTCCTCACACACAGGGAAGTCCCCCTCTGCTCGTCCCTCCCGTGAACCTTCTGAATCGTACGCAAATTCACCAAGACTTTCACTGCCAGAAGAGAAGCGCTTGTAATCTTCTACTCGGAGGAAAGGGTGAGCAGCTAACTGAGGGTTATCCTTCAGGAGGCTCAGATCAAGGCTACTCCCAGGCAATGGAGATGGGGGTTCAGAGATATGATAGGTAATCTCATGAGCAAGTTTTATATCCTCCGGGTCAGAGAAATCAGACATGGCTTGTCTGCAGTCAAAGAATTCCACATCAGACTCAGAAAGTTGTGGAGATACTGATCCTTTACTTGGCAGTCCCTTAGAATTGTCTGATTCAAATTCAGAGACGGTTTTCTCAAATTCTGAGAGAACTTTCTTAAAGCCTGGGGAATACTCAAAGTCTTCAGGGTTCTCAGACTCGTCTTTGGCTTCACTCGTGACCTCAGCTGAAATTGAGTCACTGAACACGGGAGACAACGGGCTCAAATCATTTAAGGAAGCTTGGCTACATTCAGAAACTCTCAAGGTTTGATGTCCTGAAAATACTGCTTCATAGTCTGGTGGCACCAAAAACTGAGTGGACATGGGTGAAAAGAGCTCACTGGACTCCGCTATCTTGGTGGACAGTTCCCAGTCGGAGAACACCTCTGAACTCTCCGACACTTTGCTTGATGGCTGCTCCAACGTTGGTAGAACTGGAGTTATAGTCCTGTGGGTTGTGTACGAGTTATTGTCTAATTTACAGGTATCTTGTGCTTCTGTTGGAGCAGACAACAGATTGGTTTGTGCCTCATTTTCTGTTTGAAACTGTGATTCTCCTGGAGCCTGTAAGCAAATATCAACATGATCTAAATAAGTTCATGTAATAAAAACATTTATTGGCTAACACCATTAGAAAGACTTCAACCTCCCACTGGGTTAGCAGCAATGACAAATAATTCCCATCCAGCCAACATCTTATGGGGTTAAGAACAATATATTTGAAGACATTACAGGCAACTTTAAAAACATGTGAGCATAATACAAACAAATCAGAAGTGAGGAAAGCAATGCATATTTTAACATAACCAACACATTCTGGTTAAATTAAATTCAAGTTTGAGACATTAACTGCAATCCATTTTGTTATTAGTTCAACGAGACAAACTGAGTTATTTCCATCATCCAGGTGACATGTTAAAAGAATTCATCCCACACGAGTGAGTCTTTTCTTGAATGCCATGCTCTCAGTCTTACCCTTTGTGGGTCATTCTTGCTCTGAAGTCCTCCAGCATTGGTGTGTAGGGTTTTCTTTTCCTTTCTTTTTGCATTTTCAACTTCTGATAGCTTCAGAAGAAGGTCTTCTTCCCAAACAGCAGTTTTTAAAGATGAGATACTTTCCACCGTTGAGCCATGAGGTGTGCTTTCATTGTATGACAAAACATCTGGTTGTGGTCCGGTCATTTTTTGCCAGTCAGGATTTACTGGACCTTCCTTCAAATCTGTCCCACCAGTTTGAAATAGTGGTGGTGCCAAAGCCATTGGCTTTACGTTATGTAATGATGACGACTGATCAGGCAATAAAGGAGGCGTCATTTGACTCAAAGGTTCTAGTTTAGAGAGGAACGTATCACTTCTCTCAGAGCTAAAGCCTAACTCATACTCTGAATCAACACTTTGAGGGCTCAGTGGCCTCGGGCTGTCATCAATCCAACAATCAATTGGTAGAGCAACAAACTCAGAGTCGGATGTAAAAGACACTGGTGTAGATGATCTCTCAACAAAAGTAGCATCCATAAAATATGAAGATAATATCCTCATGAACTCAGGTACTGGAGAGTCAGGCAACAGATGTCTGAACTCATTGATGGAGGATTCTGGTGAGGATGGTCGGTCGATCTCAGCAGCTCTCAATGATGTGACCATTAGCTCGCACTCTGAATCTGAATCCATTGATTCAGGTGATGATGACCTATGTGTTGTGGTGTACTCTTCCAATGATACTGGAAACTGAGGGATTGGAGAGTCTGGAGACAATGATCTGTTCTCACTGAACTCAGGCATAGATTCTGGGGATGATGCTCTATTGAGAGATTCAACATTTCCAAATGGCATATAGTCTACATTTGGCATATATTCTATATCTGATGCAACAGTTGCAGGTGAAGATGAAGATGATCTCAGGAACGTTACGCATTCTGGTAATTCCGTTGTAAATTGAGGTAAGGGGGAATCTGGAGAGAGTTGCCTTAACTCATTGACTGACGTTACAGATTCAGGAGATGATGCTCTTGCTTCTAACACCATGACTGAGTTAGGGGACATGGGTCTATACTCTATCAGAGAACCTGGTGAATAGCATACACCGTCATCCACTGCATCAGAAACTGATACAACCACCCAATCATCATCAGAACTTGTTTGTGCATCAGGGGCAAGTTCTTCAAATGTGTACTCGGCCTGCCTGTATGGAGCATCCCCTAAAGACACAATGTGTTCAAACATTGGTGGAGGTGACTCTGGAGCAGGTTTATTGGATTTGACTTCAGGACTAGAGGTGCAAAGAATGTCAACTGAATCTGTTTCTGTTATAGTAAATGGATGTGTCACCTCTGAAGGTGGTGGCACTGTTGCATATGTAACTTGCTCATTTATATCTTTGAATTCAAAATCTGGTTCATCCTTAGAAGTATAATCTATACTGCTGCCAATAAACTGCATAAATCCTGTTTTACTTGCATATGTTTCCCCTACATACTGAGGATCACGTACTTGGGATATCAGCTTCCATAGCTCTGCGTCATGAATGAGATTATACTCGGCGACCACGATGACTGATTCCTCTGATGTAGGTGCAGCTGCTGTTGATACAATTGTGCTAGCGGTGGTGACCTCATTTGCAGTTTGAACTTTTAATTCAGTTACTGACGATTTAGATACCAACTGTAATATTTCCTTATCTGATTCTACAGACTCTGGTGATGCTAGCCTGTCTTCTGCACAGAATGGTTCCACAGTTTGGGACAAATCATCTGAATCAAAAGATTCACCAGGTGACAAATCTCTATAAAGAGTCATTATATTTTCCACAAATGCCCTTGTATAATCAGGTATTGGTGATTCCGGGGTCAGAGGTTTAGATTCATCATCTGATCTCTCAGACTGAGGTGATAGTGGTCTAATGTTTGTGATTTCCACATCATATGAGTCTGAACCACATTCCATATCTGAAAATATTGATTCTGGGGACAAAAACCCATCGTGTGTTTCACATTTCGTTATCTCCAGAACATTTTGTGCAAACCAAGGGAGAGGCGAGTCTGGAGATAACCTCTTGTGCTCATCTAGTGATTGAGTTGATTCTGGAGATACCGATCTGATGCCTCTCAGTAAC